AATTGTAAAAATAATGGCCAATGTCAAAGTTTCTTTACAGTAACGGCAACTTTACTGTTACAATAGCTCAAACTATTTCTTCGAAAAAGTAGAGTAAAAATAAGAGCTGTCACAGGAGACAGCGAAGCTCAACTAATAAAATACTGGACGCAGTAAGGAAGACAAAACTATGAAAGAAAAATCAATTAGGTATAATTATGTTTTAAGTTAAAGTAAAAAAATAACATTGTTAACATGAATTCCAAGATCAAGGGAAATAATTCTAGAAATAGTCACGCTAGAGTTATGAACCTTGTCACACAACATGTGTATAATGATAAGAAATATATATTTGAAGTTTGAAGTAGATACCTTAAAAAGTAAAGAAGTTATAATATTTCTTAAAGAAAATCTTAAGTTCAAAGAGAAATAAATCTGTAAATATTGCTTCAAGAATTATGAACATTGTCACATAAAATGTAATTGATGATAAGGAATAAGTATTTGAAGTTTGAGTTAGATACCTTTAAAACTAAAACTTATAGTAAAAAATAACATTTTTCTAGTATAAAAATCAAAGTTTATTGGGAGATAATTCTTGCAATATTGGTGCTAGAGTTATGAACCTTGTCACATAACATGTGGATGATGATAAGGCACATATATTTGAAGTATGAGGTTGATCCCTTAAGAAATAAAGAAGTAACAGTAAAAAATAGTATTTTTTAAGGAAAAGTTCAAGGGGAGATAAATGCTAGAGTTACGAACCTTGTCACATAAGATGTGGTTGATGATAAGGAACATATATTTGAAGTTTTAAGTTGATACCTTAAGAAATGACAAAGTTATAGTGAAAAATATTTTACTGCACCAAAACTTTAATCTGAAATCTGGACGCGGACGCTGGGGCGAGTAGGACAGCTCTCCATATACTTTGTATAGTCGAGCTAAAAATTAAAGAAGTTATAATATTTCTTAAAGAAAATCCTAAGTTCAAAGAGAGGTAAATCTGTAAATATTGCTTCAAGAGTTATGAACCTTGTCACATAAACTGTAATTGATGATAAGGAATAAGTATTTGAAGTTTGAGGTAGATACCTTTAACCCATTACGCGATATACACGCCTTTTAACGCCTTTTTCACCCCCCCTTTTTTGTTGTCTCAAGTGGTGAAAAAATGCCTTATTTAGGGCCCCAACACTTGTTTTTGTTTGAGAAATGTTGTTTAAACAAGAGGGCCATGATTCCCCTGAGGTCGCTCATCTGTATATAGGAGCCGGGCCAGTTTGAACCCCAGGGCTTTTATTTGAACAAACTTGGAAGACACTCATAAGAAGATGTTTCATGATGTGACTTTTTACTACACACATATAATGAAAAACAATGATCTTCTTCCCCACCCCCCGGCAGGGCCCATAAGAAGATGGTTCATGCTAAACATCTTAGCTCTAGCTCATTGGGTTTTTTAAAAGAAGATTTTTTTAAGATTTTACTATACACATATAGTTAAAAACAATGACACCCCTGGGGCGGGGCCAGTTTTGACCCCATGCAGGGCTTTTATTTGAACAAACTTTGTAGACACTTACTAGAAGATGTTTCATGCTTAATATCTAAACTCTAGCTATTTAGGTTTTTTCAAAGAAGATTTTTTAAGTTTTTGCAATACACATATAAGGAAAATCAATGACCCCCGGGGCGGGGCCAATTTTGACCCCAGGGCTTTTATTTGAACAAACTTGGTAGACACCCATTAGAACATGTTTCATGCTAAATATCTTAGCTCTAGCTCTTTGAGTTCTTTAAAAGAAGATTTTTTAAGTTTTTACTATTTGCATATAGGGAAAATCAATGACCCCCGGGGCGGGGCTAATTTTGACCCCAGGGCTTTTATTTGAACAAACTTAGTAGACACTCATTACAAGATGTTTCATGCTAAATATCTTAGCTCTATCTCTTTGGGTTCTTTAAAAGAAGATTTTTTAAGTTTTTACTATATGCATATAGGGAAAATCAATGACCCCCTAGGGCGGGGCCAATTTTGACCCCAGGGCTTTTATTTGAACAAACTTGGTAGACACTCACTAGAAGATGTTCCATGCTAAATATCTAAGCTCTAGCTCTTAGGGTTTTTTAAAAGAAGATATTTAAAGTTTTATCTTTCGTTGTCATGGCAACCAGAGTTCTGCATGGAATTAAATTCTTTGAACAATTTTCAAAGGTGACCACCAAAGGAACATTCCTGTGAAGTTTGGATGAAATTGGCTTAGTGGTTTATGAGGAGATGTCATTTAAAGTAAAAGTTTACTGACGGACGCTGGACAGCCGGACGCCGGACGAAAAGCGATCACAAAAGCTCACCCTGTCACTTTGTGACAGGTGAGCTAAAAAATGACCACTTTTTGGCGCGTCCCCCCAACCAAAAGACCTCATCGCCAAGAAAATTTTGGACTTGTGAGAGGCTAAAAATAACCCCAGATCAATCATAAGGTAACGTGTAACCAACGCTGAAAAGCATTTGACTCTATCTCAATCCATTAAGAAGTTGCAGCACTTTAAAATCAATTTTGATGGAAAAAATCAACGCAAAATAGTGATTTTTGGCAATTTTGAGATGTCCCCTCGTAGCCATGGTAACAGGAAAATTAAGCATTGATTAAGCAAAATTGAGCATGTTGTTGCAAAGGCAATGGTCCAGTCAATATTTGTGCCAAGTTTGATTAGTATTGAAGCAGGTTTTATAGTTTTATAGCAATATGAACTTGTAACGAGAGACTTTTCAATGAAAACAGCCATTTTTCACAAAATGCTCATGAAGTAATGCGTTAAAACTAAAAAAGTCATAGTAAAAAATAACATTTTTCTAGTTAAAAAATCTTAAGTTCAAGGGGAGATAAACCTGAAAAATATTGGTGCTAGAGTTATGAACAATGTCACATAAGATGTGGTTGATGATAAGGAACATATATAATTGAAGTATGAAGTTGATCCCTTAAGAAATAAAGAAGTAACAGTAAACAAGAGGGCCATGATGGCCCTGAAATCGCTCACCTGTATATAGGCCCTTGGGGCGGGGCTGATTTTAACCCAGGGGCTTTTTTTAACCAACATGGTAGACACCCATTAGAAGATGTTTCATGATAAATATCTAAGCTCTAGCTCTTTGGGGGTTTTAAAAGAAGATTTTTAAAGTTTTTACTATAGATGGGCGGGGCAAATTTAACCTTGGGACTTTTATATGAACAAATTTGGCAGACACTCACTAGAAGATGCTTCATGCTCAATATCAAAGCTCTAAATTTTTGGGTTTTTAAAAGAGGTTTTTTTTAAGTTTTTATTATATAAATATATGGAAAATCAATGACCCCGGGGCGGGGCCAATTTTGACCCCAGGGGTTTTATTTGAGCAAACTTGGTTGACACTCATCATACAATGTTTCTTGCCAAATATTTTAGCTCTAGCTCTTTCGGTTTTTTAAAAGAAGATTTTTTAAGTTTTTACTATAGACATATAAGGAAAAGCAATGACCCCCGGGGCGGGCCAATTTTGATCCCAGGGCTTTAATTCGAACAAACTTGGTGGACACTGATCAGACAATTTTTCATGCCAAATATTTAAGCTCTAGCTCTTTCGGTTTTTAAAAAGAAGATTTTTTAAAGTTTTTACTATACACACATAAGGAAAATTAATGGCCCTCCTGGGGCGGGCCAATTTTGACCCAAGAGCTTTTATTTAAACAAACTTGGTAGACACTGATCGGACAATTTTTCATGCCAAATATTTAAGCTCTAGCTCTTTCAGCTTTTAAAAAGAAGATTTTTTAAGTTTTTACTATAGACATATAAGGAAAAGCAATGACCCCCTGGGGCGGGCCAATTTTGACCCAAGGGCTTTAATTTGAACAAACTTGGTGGACACTGATCAGACAATTTTTCATGCCAAATATTTAAGCACAAGCTCTTTCGGTTTTTAAAAAGAAGATTTTTAAAGTTTTTACTATATACACATACGGAAAATCAATGACCCCCCTGGGGCGGGCCAATTTTGACCCAAGAGCTTTTATTTGAACAAACTTGGTAGACACTCATCAGACAATGTTTTATGCCAAATATTTAAGCTCTAGCTCTTTTGGTTTTTAAAAAGAAGATTTTTAAAGTTTTTACTATATACACATACGGAAAAGCAATGACACCCTGGGGCGGGGCCAATTTTGACCCCAGAGCTTTTATTTGAACAAACTTGATAGACACTCACTAGAAGATGTTTCATGCCAAATATCTAAGCTCTAGGTATTTGGGTTTTTTTAAAGAAGATATTTAAAGTTTTTTCTTTCGGTTGCCATGGCAACCAGAGTTCTGCATGGAATTAAATTCTTTGAACAATTTTTAAAGGTGACAACCAATGGACCATTCCTGTGAAGTTTGGATGAAATTGGCTTAGTGGTTTATGAGGATGAGGAGATGTTGTTTAAAGTAAAAGTTTACGGACGGATGGATGGACGACGTACAGACGGCGGACGAAAAGTGATCACAAAAGCTCACCATGTCACTTTGTGACAGGTGAGCTAAAAATAGTATTTTTTCAGGAAAATTCTAAGTTCAAGGGGAGATTAACCTGAAAATATTGGTGCTAGAGTTATGAACCTTGTCACATAAGATGTGGTTGATGATAAGGAACATATATTTGAAGTATGAAGTTCATCCCTTAAGAAATAAAGAAGTAACCATAAAAACATAGTATTTTTTAAGGAAAATTCTAAGTTCAAGGGGAGATAAATCTGAAAATATTGGCGCTAGAGTTATGAACCTTGTCACATAAGACGTGGTTGATGATAAGGAACATATATTTGAAGTTTGAAGTGGATACCTTAAGAAATGACAAAGTTATAGTGAAAAATATTTTACTGCACCAAAACTTTAATCTGAAATCTGGATGTGGACGCCGACGCCACCGCCTACGCCGGGGCGAGTAGGACAGCTCTCCATATACTTCGTATAGTCGAGCTAAAAATGGTAAAAGATTTTAGATTCTTAAATGTTTATTACATTACTGATAGTTAATTAGTTTTGTAAGGAAGCCTGACATAAAGGCCTCTCAATAAAAAAACTATTTACACAGATCATAATAACAGTTTTATAATATGACATGATAGTTTATCTTTATATATAGTAATACTGTATAATCAATTACTGTATACCATTGAAAAACAGTTAAGAACATAAACATATTTATAGAAAAGTGAGCCCAAATCACAAAACAATTGCAATAATTCTTCATACAGCAGCAACATTACAAAGCTTACTCTGGAACTAAGATATTTTGGATTCCCTAATGTAATCATTCCCTAATGTAATCTGGTTTTCACAGTCATTAATAACATTGTTGCAATAGCTAATGATAAATACTGTTTATTCCCTAATAAACATACAAAAAGGCCTTACATTTTCTAAAGGGAGATGATGGCGGGTCAATTTAAGTACAGTAAAAAAGTAAAATACTGTCACTTGTTGTGATTTTCTGCTGGATTGTATACTTGTTGGAGAGATAACCTCTACACAATATCTTAATTATCTTTGTGTTTATTTACAATATTGCCCCATCTTACTGAGACCCTATTTCGTACACATTTTTATACTCAACAAGTTCTTGTATAACCTAATTACTGTGTTCTTAAAAGATTGTTTATATTGCTAGTTAGCACTTAAAAAAAGGTTAGGAAAATTTATAAGCAAAAAGAACAAAGCATGGAATCATAGGGGGAATACTATAACAATTTTCATTTCTGCTGATTTTAAAATGAATGCCAACTTTAAGGAAAATTATTGTAGCCTTCATAATTATGCCTCATAGCTTTTTTTTTCACTTGTATATAGCTTATAATTATTGAGTAAATACTTAATACTGAATTACTGAACAAGTTGAATAATATTACATGATACAAATCTCTGAAGCAGTAACAATATTAAATTTCATTTAATTCATACCTTAAATAAGTTCTCAGTAAAAAAAAAATGTTTTTCATTGATGCTATTTGACTGGCTTAGCACTTCAATTTAGCATGAGTTATTGTATGTTTATATCACATACTGGACATCACATTAAAATATATACATGGCTGTGCCATATTGCTTTGATGAATTTGGAAATGCAGAACAGGCTGATAAGCTCCTAGGTTAACAATCATAGGCTCTGAAATGCAGATAAAATTCACAGTAAATACAATAGACAAATGTATGTTGTACACATATGTGGTTCAATAAAATGTCATAGTCATCAAAAAAATATTTTGAACTGATCTTCAAATTTAAACATAGTAATCATCATAAAAAAATTTTGTTTAAGAATAATTTGAAAATTTCTTTTATCTTATTTAACTACAATAGACTGCTATGGATGTATCTATTTATAGAACTAAGTATACAGTCAAAGTAAAGTGCTGCTATACATATAATGAAGTTAACTGGAGAAAAAGTCAATAGATGACTGGATGCTTGACTTTTTGCAGTAAAACAAGAGCCTGGATAATGTAAGAATTAACAAAAAGAAGATATCATTCAAAAAAATACATGACACACTGTCAGTTGTGCATCTTTGATATTGACACTATAATTTTCTATATTCACAAAGAGCAATATTTCATAAAAAATTCATGCTTTTAACAGTGACCTCCAATTATGTTCTCAAAGCAATGCATTAAATTTTATGAAGATAGCTTCAGTGGTCTTGAAGATCGATGATGCATAAAAAACTGTAACCAAGAGTTTTCCAAGTTCACAAAGGGTCATAATTTAGTCAAAACCAATACCACAGTTATAAGACTGAGAATGTCCTCTATAATTATGATCCAAGTGAATATTTTCAGTAGCTTAGAAGATTGATGTTGCACAAGTTTTCTATGTTGAAAAGGGTCAAGATTCATGTCACCGATAGTGACCTCCCATTATGATCTCAAATACACGAGAGCAATTACAAGCAAATATCTTTAATGGTTGATGAAATATGATGTTGTAAAATAATTACCACATAAAACTTATCAACAAGCTTGCAAAATGAGAAATTAACTTTCAAAATTGAATTATACAGGGTTTGAATTTTGGCTTGCAGTGTCCATGTACGGTTAACAAAACCTGCAAAAATCATGCACCATCATCAATGACATTCAGTTGAAGTTTTCATTAAAATATTACAGACATTACTATCTTGCTGCTCATCGGTGATGATATTCTTTCTCAGCCAAAAAATTTGCGAGTGTTAGGTATCACTTGCAACTTACAAAATTCAATCCTATTTTGTTTGTATGTGAACTGTAATTTGAACCCTGGCATACATACATATGAACTCTCCCACTTTTAGCGGGAGACTCTCATTTTCTGCAGCCATATTTTCGAAGATTTGTCTTAAAATAATGGGTATTTTCACAAATTAATAAATCTCCCTATTTTTGATGTCAGAACTTCCTTCTTTCGTTGTTTATTTCAAACTCTGAAATCTCCCTCTTTTTGAAAAGAAGTAAGTGTATCAAGGAGAAGTAACTGGGAAAATAGATATATCATTTTTGACATTTGCCAAGATCATGGCTTTTGTACTGGCAAAATAATGCATATAATAAGAAGCCTAAGGTACCAATAGAACTTTCAATGTATTCAACTTAACAAGCGTAATTAAATGTTAAGAAACAAGAGGGCCATCATGCCCCTGAAATCGCTCACCTGAATATTCAAACTGTCCATGACAAGGAACAAGTAATATTCTAAACTATGAACAAAAGCAGATATAAAATCTAAATCTTAAACTGATATCACTAAGTTCATATTTGTATCTGAAATAGTGCGTGTGAAAAAAACAACATAACTGATTGCTATTGCTAAGGGAAAACAACAGTTTCAAAAGATGTGTACATATAAGGAAAATCAATGACCCCAAGGGGCGGGCCAATTTAGACCCAAGGGCTTCTATTTGAACAAACTTGGTAGAAACCCATTAGATTTTTCTACTTCATATTTTGGGTTTTTTAAAAGACAATTTTTTAAGTTTTTACTACATACATATAAGAAAAATCAATGACCGCCCGGGACGGGACAATTTAAACCCAAGAGCTTTTATTTGAACAAACACTCACTATTAGATGTTTCATGCCTAATATCTAAGCTCTAGCTATTTTAATTTGATTAAACTTGGTAGACACTCACTAGAAAATGTTTCATGCCAAATATCTAAGCTCTAGCTCTTTGAGTTTTTAAAAGAAGATTTTTTAGTTTTTACTATACACATTAAAGGAAAATAAACGACCCCCTTGGGTGGGGCAGATTTTGACCCCAGGGCTTTTATTTGAACAAACTTGGTAGACACTCACTAAAAGATGTTTCATGCTTTATATCTAAGCTCTAGCTATTAAAGTTTTTTGACAGAAGATTTTTTAAGTTTTTCCTATATACATATAAGGAAAATCAATGACCCCCCCTCCTAGACGGGGCCAATTTTGACCCCAGGGTTTTATTTGAACAAACTTGGTAGACACTCACTTGAAGAAGTTTCATGCCAAATAGAGTTCTGCATGGAATTAGATTCTTTTCACAATTTTTAGAGGAACATTCCTGTGAAGTTTGAATGAAATTGGCTTAGTGGTTTATGAGGAGTCGTTTAAAGTAATAGTTTACGGAGGGACGGACGAATTATGACCACAAAAGCTCACCTTGTCACTCTGTGACAGGTGAGCTAAAAATTGAACAAGGCAGTCTGAAGGACAGCTAAATCCCCTTCCGCAGTGAACATGAATGTGTACTTCTTGACCTTTTACCAACCATGACCTTGATGTTGTGTCACGCATATCATAAGCACATAATCTCACGATGGTGGTTTTTTGTGCCATCTTCCATAAAGTCAAAAAGTTATGGAGAACTTATAACCTTGCCCATGGGTGTAGCGATCTGGATGTTGAGCTTTGCAGATTGTGTCATGGTGGGGATCATTTGTGCCAAGTAATTTTAAAACCTTTGAATTGTCAAGTTATAAGTTCTATAGAGCGGACATGAAAAATAGATGTTTTTAAATTGGACCTTTGAGTGTGACCCTGACCTTAAGGGTTTTGACTTGATTATTGTGCTCTGCCAATGGTGTCATAATGGTGATTATTTCTGCCAAGTTATCTTGCTATTTAAAACATATTCAGAGGTTTAAATGATATGGAGGGGACATGCAATGTAGACTTTTATACATTTGACCTTTAAGTGTGACCTTGACTATGGGGGTAGCAACCCAATTATTGTACTCTGCAAATGTTCTTATAATGGTGATCAATTGTGTCAAGTTATCTTTTTAAAATTTCAGTGGTTAAAAAGTTATGGAGCGGACACGAAATGTAGACTTTTAATATTTGACCTGTGTGACCTTGACCTTGGGGGTAGAAACCCAATTATTGCGCTCTGCACATCGTCTCATAATGGTGATCAGTTGTGCCAAGTTATTTCAAAACATTTTCAGCGGTTAAAAAGTTATGGAGCGGACACAAAAATGTTTATGTAGACTCTTTATTATGAAATGAAGACTTTTTAACATTTGACCTTTAAGTGTGACCTTGGTATTGGGGGCAGCAACCCAATTTTTGCGCTCTGCACATCATCTCATTATGGTGATCACTTGTGCCAAGTTATTTCAAAAAATTTTCTGCAGTTTTAATGTTATGGAGTGGACACGAAAGTGTTACGGATGGACAGAGGGACGGACTGACAGACTGAGGCCATACTTATAAACCCCATTCCGCTATGCGGAAGGGGACTAAAAATGGGTAAAGCAGCTGTGTGACTTGCTAACATATTTATATTGAAGCAGCTTAAATAGGATAACCTAAGCTAAATTATTTAGAATGCATACTGCAAAAATGCAAGATGCCAAGGTCAGGGCCTATGTATTGTTAAGCAAATTTGTATATCATGAAGCCATTCCATTGATAACAAGAAAAGCATTGATGCAAAGCATCAAAGGGCGTCCAAGCAAGAAATGCAGCAAGTGACGATGAACTAGTAGACATATGATGACAAGATATTCTTATAATCTTTTCAATGGTTAATTGGTTTTTACCAGAATTGTATATCACTTATGAATGAACGGACGAAAAACATAGTTCATTATGAACTTTGATTGGCATGCTAGAGATTAGAATATTACTTGTAAATTATTCTTTATGATCGTGATTATTAATAGTAACGGATATACATGTATACAATCATTTATAATTCATATGTGTAACGCATGATCAACACCACACTTGTGAAATTGTCCCTTATTATGTTATCGCTATTAGCTCTTAAGGTATCTGTTCACACTTAGTAAAAATATGACACAGGTTATATTACCATGTTGATCATAATAGTTTTATTATACAATAATTGTAATATCTATTTTAATAATAAAAAAATACAGATTTTATGAATATTGTTTTCTTTTCTTTTGTTTTTATGTGCTTTTTTAATACTGAGTTTTTACGTTTACTACTCTTTTGTTATTAAAATTGTAAAATAAATTTTAAGAATTCAATTGTCATATCAAAACTGAAATAAAAGTCAGTAAATTATGGTTAATCTTTCAATATATAATATTGTTTATTCTTAAACCAATGGCATGTACATTTGTATTTTTCTTTATCATTTTTTAAACTATCAATCAATTGAATAATTCATAAAATCTAATTTGTAACTTTGAATAATTCCTCGTCATCTTTACTAAACACTAAACATTAAATAAAATGTTTCAAAGTTGATAGTGTCATATTAATACCATAAAAATGTACCTTTTTTCTCAATCATTGTACATATTTATTGTTTTTATCTCATATAGATAAAATGAAACATGCTATTGTTGTTGTTGTTGCTGGTTTTTTTTTCGAATTGTATGTTTATGTATAATAATAATCAATAATCTGAGTGTAACCAAACTAAGTGACAAATATTCATTTTGGAAAAAAAGCTTATTTATCTGTAAAATATTTGTTCTGTTCTGTAACGATATCAAACATCTACTCCAAAATCGGGAGAGACCGGACAATAAACGTATGATACTATTCGCTGGTCACTAGTAAATCCCGGTCAAAATAGACCGAGAGAGACAGGGAATTACCGATAGGATTAATCATTCTATTTACAGCTTTCGGATACATGTACAACAATAACATTACAAAATAACCCACTGTGTACTAAAAAACCCCGAAGAGCCGATTGATTGACGGAAAAGGTTATTTCATTTGAAAATGTTTGCATTGCGAAATTCTCCAGTTCGCTATTCATTGTACATATCGCGACATTTCATTCTTAATTAATAATCAAGCACCCTCATACCGATCGGAATGATCGGCTTTTATCATGACCGACTAAAAGGCTCGAGAAGTTGCTGTCGCCCTTTCACAAAATCTGATTTCATTCCATAAGGGGCGCCGCGCTTCCGCGCGGACGCCAATAATAAAACTAATGGTATCTCCAACTTGCCAGAATAGGTTAACAATATCCATTTTCAAGGTGCTAAAAGGGAAATAACTGGGGAAAATGGAAGTCAAAGCTCTGTCACCTGACAAGATCATAAACTTGTATAGATTACCAAGTTTGTGAAGTATAAAGCAGCTTGTGCACATAAAACTAAGATATATTCAAGTTCCTGGAATTGGTTACCAAAATATCACATAGGAAATATATGTTGCTGTTAGGTCAGTTGCCAAGATCATTGACTTGACATTGGCTAGTAAGTTTGCTTTTAACTAGAAATGTGTCCATAGGACACGGGTGCCCCCACACTCCACGGATTTGTCAATCTTATGTCTCTAGGTCAAATTTTTTTTTGGCTACATGTGCCCAAGTTGAAAACTAAAAATCTTTTATTAAGTAAAGGGCAAATACTACAAATACTGAATAAATCCACAAGAAAACCCCAAGGTGCATAAGTACCCATGCTGACCAACATTCTTGTAAACTTTCAGGCATACTGGTCAAATACTTTTTGAGTCACATGCAACGCAAGTTTAATATTGTAAATTTTTACGAAGTCAAGGGCAATAACTCTTAAAATACTAAAAATATCCACACGAAAATAGCCAGGTGCAGAACTACACATGCTGAGCAACATTCCTGTAAGGTTTCATGACTTTAGGTCAAATATTTTTTGAGTTATGTGCGACACAAGTTGAAAATGGCAAATTTTTACTAAGTCAAGGGCAATAACTCTAAAAATCTTAACAATATCCACATGAAAATACCCAGGTGCACAACTACACATGCTGAGCAACATTCTTTTAAGGTTAACCGTTTCATGACTCTAGGTCAAATTCTTTTTTAGTTACGTGCGACACAAGTTGAAAATTGGAAATTTTTACTAAGTCAAGGGCAATAACTCCACATGAAAATACCCAGGTGCACAACTACACATGCTGAGCAACATTCCTGTAAAGTTTCATGACTCTAGGTCAATTACTTTTTTAGTTTCATGCGAGACAAGTTGAAAATTGGAAATTTTTACTAAGTCAAGGGCAATAACTCTAAAAATACTAAAAATATCCACATGAAAATACCCCGGTGCACAACTACACATGCTGATCAACATTCCTGTACGGTTTCATGACTCTAGGTCAATTACTTTTTGAGCTATGTGGGACACAAAAAGAGAACGGACAGAAAGACGACTGACGGACAAAGGTAAATCTAAATGTCCCCCCCCTACCAGTAGTGGGGGCACAATAAAACTATTGGTACAAGTAAAACTGGGGAGCAAACAAGTAGACTTTTGCAGAGTACCAGGAACCAAAAGTAACTGTAAATTCTATTCACTTCTTCAGTATTATTGGGTACTTAAATAATGCTAATGAGTACTTTTTTTACAAAAGAGATATCCAACAAATGACCTCTTGTAAGAAAAGATGACCCGATTGGCAATGGATAGATCCCTATATGACCCTAACCTGTCTACTTATCACATTAGTGGATTACAAGAATAATTTCACCACAATGTATTTATTAATAAAAGAGTCATGTCAATGTTTGTGGTTAAATCTATATTTATTCAAATGAAAGACCAGAGTAAGGATTTATCAGACTATATGCTTAGGGCTATTCTAGACTATTAATAAGAACATTTCTATGATGTAATAATATAAAATGGACAATGGTTTTTGACAAGATGGTCAAGGTTTTTGTAACCAGTTTTCTGAGAAGAATTTTGAAAAGGTATCTTCCTTGGATTTAAAAAAGTATGTTGAGCTAAAATTGTATAACCCTGATGAATTCTGAGAAGATGCTGTAGACAAAATGAAATGGATAAACACAGCCAGTTGGTAATCAATCTCAATATAATAAAGTGCAAAAAAATGTTTCAAATGCAATGAATGACCATTAACAAGATGTATTTTTAAAATTTCGGCAAAACACAGCCACTGTAGACATCTACAGTTCTGAAGATAATTGTAAATTTCAACCAGTGAAAGTAGGGTGTTACAAAAATAAAACAATCATCTTCATATACACTCCTATTGAAAATTTTAATAAAATTTCAATGTACTTCTCAATTTAAGAATAGTTTATTGTAATTTTTCAAACATCAAACTTTTCAAGAGAATTTTGGTGATTTATTAAGAAATAATGGTCATGGAAATGACAGACAGATGGCATGGTGTTCTAAAAGCTCAATATGATACAATGGATTTAATTACAATTTCATGAACAAATAAATATATTAAATAAATAATGTTGATCCATAAAGCAAGAGCACAATGATGGCCCTTCTTCGCACACCTGTCCTATAATGTGTCAAAATAGCAAGAATAATAATAATAATTATAAACAAGAAGAGGGCCATGATGGCCCTGAAATCGCTCACCTGAATATAGAAACTCTCCATGACAAGGAACAAGTAATATATTGTTAACTATAAACAAAGGCAGATATAAAATCTAAAACTGATATTACAAAGTTCATATTTGTTTTTGAAATAGTGCATGTGTAAAAACATTACTTGTTGCTATTGCTTAAGGGAAAACAATAGTTCCAAAAGATGTGTACATATAAGGAAAATCAATGACCCTGTGGGGGTCAATTTCATTTGGTAGACACCCACTAGAAAATGTCTCATGTTAAATATCTAAGCTCTAGCTATTTGGTTTTTTTTTAAAGAAATTTTTTTTTTCTATAGACATATAAGGAAAATCAACCACCTCCCGGGGTGGGCCAATTTTGACCTCAAGGCTTTTATTTGAATAAACTTGAAAAACACCCACTAGAAGATGTTTCATGTTTAGCTCCTTAAGTTATTTAAAAGAAGATTTTTTAAGTTTTTACTATATACATATAAGGAAAATCAAAAACCCCTGAGCGGGCCAATTTTGACCCATGGGCTTTTATTTGAACAAACTTGATAGACACTCACTAGAAGATGTTTTATGCTTACTATCTAAGTTCTAGCTACTTATGTTTTTCTAAAGAGGATTTCTTAAGTTTTTACTATGTACATATAAGGAATATCAATGACCCCCAAGGCCGAGCCAATTTTGACCCTAGGGCTTTTATTTGATCAAACTTTGAAGACAACCATTAGAAGATGTTTCATTCTTAATATCTAAGCTCTAGCTCCTTGTGTTTTTTTAAAGAAGTTTTTTAAATTTTTACTATATACATATAAAGAAAATCAAAGTCTCCCCAGGGCGGGGCCAATTTTGACACCAGCGTTTTTATTTGAACAAACTTGGTAGACATCCACTACAGGATGTTTCTGCTTAATATCTAAGCTCTAGCTATTTGGGTTTTTAAAAAAAAAAAATGTCTAAATATACACATAAGAAAAATTAATGACCCCCTGGGGCAGGGCCTATTTTGACCCCAGGGCTTTTATTTGAACAAACTTGGTAGACACCCATTAGAAGATGTTTCATGCTTAATATCTAAGGTCTAGCTATTTGGATTTTTTAACAGAAGTTTTTTTAAGTTTTTCGTATATATATAAGGATTATCAATGATCCAAATTTTAAGCACAAAAGTCATTAAAATTGAGTGTCATGAGGTCTAAATGTCAATGCTTCAGCAACATTAACAAAAATGTAGGTCACTAGGTCAAGAAATCTAGGTCAACTGATATGAAATTGGGCAATGATTTCAACAATCATTATAGCGGTTCATAAAATAATACTACATACCTAATATCTAATGTCTAGGTATAATGGTTTTAGACACACAGATTCCAGATATGCAATGGATTGGCACCATTTGAGCAACTTTGGTAGAGATTCAAGTAAGGAAAATTTTAGCCATAATTATCAAATCTGGCCTGGTGGATTTATAGGGGATGTAGTTTGAATGAATTGTAGATAACAGACAGCCAACAATCCTAAAAGCTCATCTGTCCCAGCATAAGAAGTGAGGTAAAAGAAATGGCAAGACTAAATAAACATTAACATATATCTTGCAAAAAGAGAAGAATTACATGATGAACAAACACACTGATTCTGCATTTACTTGAACCACTATATATGATATGTAACAACATTAAAACATCAAACAGGCAAATTAATGTATACCAATGAGAGACATGAGAGCAGAACATTGTTAGTCTTACAGTAAAACACATCTACACTGCAATCCAAACTCAATTTATTCTTGCACAAAATCTCCAACAATTAGCTTTTTGAACAGTGTTTGAAAGAATAATAGAATCCTATATTACATGACTTAAAGGAAGACTTAAAACAAATGCAGACTTTTAAAACAAACATCTTTTGATATAGTGTTTAATAAATAAAATATGGCCAGCTTAACCTTTAACTTAAGATAACAAAAGCTATATTTCCAATGCCTAATGGAGACTTGGTAATGGTTAATTAAGCAGTTTACTTTAAATGATACAGACTTATTTAAACATAAATATACCAAAATAATTCCATAATATCAGAAAATTTCAAACAGATAAATTAACAATTTGAAGTGAAACCTGAAAGGTTTAATATACTATGAGTGCAATAACCTATAAGTCAACTATACAGATGAATTTCAAATTAATCATCAAATTCATTGTTGAAAAAAAAAATCACCAACATATGTACACAGTTATCAACCATCTTCACATACTGGTATATAATTTTAAGATAAAAAGTAATATTGTACAGTTTGAAAGTGAGAAACTAACATCTGGACCATAATCCCTCTCTGACCATATTGTTACAATATTAGCACTTACTAGATTTGTTACAAAAACTGACAAGCTCAACAGTATATAATTACATGAAGACATCACTTATAACTCAGTTATATAACTGAATGGTTTAATCATTAACTTTAAAAGCTTAAACAATTCTTTACATTAATGATTCCAGATGTCATGTTTGGAAGTTTCTTAAATATTGCTAAACAGAGTGTGTACATGTAGTCTAGGATCTTGTACAAAATAGGGGATACCACACAAACTTATCTTACATTTTAAAACAATGAAACAATTCAAGAAATGCTCAACAAATGTGTTTCTTTAAAGATATATTAGGATCAAAATCATCATAAAATATGTATGCTAGTTCACATGAAAAAAACATTAATAACGGGATGAAGCTTTAACACAAAATCAATTTTTTTCCTTCTTTATCAAGAAAGTGAAAATCTAAAAAGATGAATTTGTGAATTGCCACCCCATTATAGAAAACTAAGGACTGTCATGGACAACAGTGTTTAAATACAAAATACTCAATGGGCTCCTCAAAGATTTTTTGCTCATATTTAGTAAGCCTTTGCTGAATGTAAAATCAAACAAAAAAATCAGCAAGACATCATTCAATTCAGAACAAATTTTAAGACTACATGATAATGCTATGCTGCCCATGCCCAAACGTCATGATAGCATTATAGAAGTAGTGTAAAGATGTGTTAACTTTGAAATTATTTCACATAGCATCAGACATACCATAAATGTCAATGCCATAAAATCAGGTGGATATTCAAACTTTGTTGACCATTTGTTTTGTTTTTAAGATAATGTGTAAAGGTTGTAGAAAGTTGATTTTTGTCCTGGGCCATGTACACTCACTAAGTCTGTATAAATATTTAAATATATTTTGTATATTTTCTAGAAATAATGTTCCCTAATTTACTTCAGATTGATGGTCATACACTTGAGCAGTTATTTAAGACTGGAACATTACAATATTTTTATTATTTTACAGTGATGTCTAAGACTTTGTGGGACAGCCCTTGTAATAGTAAGGAGAAAAATTGTAATATAAATACATTACCTAACAATGATCATTATCAATTCCAACTTAAGGTAATATTTCAGCATGTAAAACAAAACATCATATGTAAAGAAGACTAAATATAAATATGAAGATTTGGAAATTAAACCATGACTTTAATGCTCAATTTTGAATATGGGTTTGGGGCATGTCAAATGTATAACTAGTGTTCATATGTAAACCATTTTCAAATATGCAGGTCAATAATAAAGTTATGAATGTTTAAAAAATTGACTTATAACACATTTTTTGGGTAATATCTCGGCAGTTGATCCACCTGACCAGCCTTTCTGGATAACTAACTACTAATTACAGATTTCTCTGCAAGTGAATGACCACCAGTCCCACATGAGTGACAGAAAAATGATCAATACACTAAATTTCCAAGGTCAATTGTCATGGATTACGCCTTAACTAAGGACCGAACCAATGCCTCCTTAACAACTAATCTGAAACTCCCTATTGAGCTAAGCAGACAGGCAAATTGGGTTCAAGATCAAATATCCGCATGCCATTTGATAAATAATATTCAAATGTATCATACCTCCATATATGAAGGTTATAGCTTAAATACCAATGACGTTAAAAGATCATGATTTGAACAAACCCATTACAGGCCAACTTGGTAACGAATGCTTCATGCAAAAGTATCAAAGGGGTAGGTCTTGAAAACAAACATTTCAAGTTTTTCCATTACAGTGAAACTTGTATTAAGCAACTATACAAGGTAAACACCAAAAATAGTCTTTTAATACAACAGTCTCTTAAGACAAAGACTGCGAAAAAGTTGATTTTTTTTTTCACGATATCTTTCCTTTGTGGTCATTTATATACATGTATAATACATACAATTCTACGAGCTAAAATAAAACAAGAGGACCTATCTCTCACCTGATTATTGAGGCTCTGAATTAATTTTGTAAGCAATGAATGAAAGACAGATATAATGCCATAAAGTTAAACTGATATCATAACATTCATATGTGCACCTGAAATAGTGGAAATGTTAATAAGGTTCTTCCATATATACATTTTATTGTGCAGTGACCTTTTTTTGACATCAAATGACCCATATTCAAACCTGAACTAGAAATAATAAAAAAACACGAACTTTCTGACCAATTTCCAGGATATTTGGGCTAAAAATGTAACTTCTAGAGAGATTACAAAGTTTTTCTATTTAACGGGTGACTCATGTTCAAAGTTGAGCTGGAAATGATCAAAACAACCTTTCTGACCAAATTTTCAGGATATTTGGGATGAAAATATTACCTAGAATGTAAATATGTTTTCCATAATTTGGGCTGTGTGACCTAGTTTTTGACCCCAGATGACCCATATCCCAAATAGCCCTAGAAATCATCAAAACAACTTTTCTGACCAATTTCCAAGATATTTGGACTGAAACAGTAGTCACTAAAATGTTTTCAATATTTGGAAACCTAATTGGCCCTAATGCTCCTGATGGGGCCAATTTTTATTACAGGCAAACTGAACAACTTTGTTAGAGGATATAAAGATTATATCATTTACCAAATATGAAAGCTCTAAACCTTGTTTCTTCAAAAAAGAAGATTTTTTAAGTTTTTACTGTATGTACATAATGAAAAATCAATGACCCCGGGTGGGGCCAATTTTGACCACAGAGCTATAATTTGAATACTTTTTGTAGAGTTTCATTAAATGATGCTTCAGGCCTCGCACTTTCAGAGAAGATTTTTTTTTAAAGTTTTTACTATTTGTATACAATGAAATTCAATGAACCCCATGGCGGGCCAATTTTGGCCCAAGGGAATTTTCTTAAGAGTTTCATGAGATGATGCTTCACACAAAATATGTAAACTCTAGGCCTTGCACTTTCAGAGAAGATTTTTTTTTAAGGTATTAGCACCCTAATGTATTACCTCCGCTTTGAAGAGTATTCAAATAGGCTAAAACTACTGTTAACTACATTGAAAATGAGAGCCATGGGTTCAATCCCCAGAAGGGTCAACTTTTTTTTTCTTTCTTTTTTTCTTTTAACATTATGTATCTCTCATGTCCCATTTGGAAAGAAAAAAGTGTTTAATTTTGATTTTTTAATTTATATAGGTATTTATTGGCTAAATTATGCTAAATCTAGTAATAAATATGGTACCTGATATTTTCAAAGTGTAATATAATCAAAACTCGACGGTAAAAGTATTTCATATTTTACAAGATCAACCAATATACTTTTTTAAAAATTTAGGGAAACTTTGAAAACAGGCAATCATTTGGGTAAATTTTAAGAATTTTTTAAATTAGGCTCCCTAAGTAGAAAAATGGTCAGACACGTGGTAAAAATGGGTGGGGTAGGGTAACATTTTTATACAGATTTCATAAATTCTTAGTAGAAACCATAATTTTGCTTATGTGGATTGTTAGCTGAATGGTTGTTTCTTACCAAAAATTAATGGGAAAACATTTTTCATTAGAATGTTATTGCAGATTATTTAAAGGTTCCTCATTTCTAAACAAGGGTGCCATAGTCACAAAATACGCCCGTTTACGAAAGCTTTAGATGGAGATGGGGGCATTATGGATAAGTGTTATCTAGCAAGCAAGTTTTTATCCTTGGCACTGTGTTGTTAAATGAACCTTAAAACAAATCAGTACTAGGGAAGATAAAAAGTACATGTAATTGTAATTTAATAACTAAAAAATTCTGATTTAAGATTTTATTCTAGGGAAATACATTTCATTACAATTCTTAATCTTTGAATGAGCTGAACTGATATTTACTTGAAAATTAAAATATAATTAAATTTCTATGGGAAAGTATTTACATTTGATAAGGTAATTACTGTATGATCTTTATGAACAAATACCAAGTCTACAGAACACCATAGTTATCACAGTTAAGAATCTTGACCAATGAATGAAACATGTGTAAATAAATGTTACATTCTTTAGAACATACTCAAGTCCAAGAAAGAGGATTATTTTATGCCTTTGATTAAATTCTATTTTTAGAATTGAAAGTGAAAGTAGATCAAGGGGAGTAATTGTGTAAGTCATTTATGAACAAAGTAATAACTTTGTTGTCGCCCTTTGATTAAATTCTATTTACAAAATCTGGATATTTCATCATCTTTAGTGACCTTGACCTTGTATATATTGACCTAAATTATATGTATCACAGCCATAGTCTTGATAATGACCATTTGTGTTACAATCCCTCAATAAATGATGACTAAATGGTCCATATACACATCTTCATATTTTTTATCTGAACTTTGACCTCTATGTGTGACCTTGACCTTGGCCGCAAGGACCTGAATCTTACACGCGACACTCCGCCTCACAATGGTGAACATTTGTGCCAAGTAATATTGAAATCCCTCTATATATGTGGAAGTTTTGCTCCGGACAAGCATTTTTCAATGAGCTCTAAGTGTGACCTTGACCTTTGACCTAGAGACCTGGTTCATGTGCGCGACACTGCTCCTCATAGTGGTGAACATTTCTATGAAGTTTCATTAAAATCCCTCCTTACATGTAGGAGATATGCTCCGGACAAAATTGGACGCCCGCCCGCCTGCCCACCCGACCGCCAGGGGCGTTCCCATAATACGTCCCGTTTTTCAAACGGGCGTATAAAAAAGAGCCCTCATAACATCCTAGCTTGAGTTCAGAAAATTGGCCATAACTTGATTTCCGTACGGTAAACTTTGTTTAAATTTTGCATACAGGTGTACTTTAAGGTATACATATGACCTATGATGTCAATTTTTTAGTTCCTGATAGTACCCATTAGGGTCCTAATACCTTAAATGTATATAATGAAAATCATTGTCCCCCGGGGAAAAGCAAATTTTTACCTCAGGACTATAATCTGAAAAATATTGGTTGAGGTCCACTACACAAAGTCTCATGCCAAATATCTAACCTCTAGCTTTTGTCAATTCAGAGAAGAATATCTTTTAAGTTTTTACTATATACATATAAGGAAAATCAATGACTCCCTATGGTTGGGCAAAATTGGACCCCAGGGCTATAATTTGAATACTTTTTGTAGAGTTTCATTTGATGTTGCTACTGGTCCGGGACCATCAACCGGACACTTTTTGAACATTTTTCCATTCAAATTTAATAATTTCAAACCTAGAGACCTAAAAATTCTAGACAGTACAGCTAGGTTCTTCTCCTAACTAACAAACTAGATTGTTTATTTCTGATTGTATTGACACTTATATTTATGGCTCGTCAAGGAGGGTATCAAAATGACCTAAATTGTCTACACTACAGTACCACGTGTCCGGACAGATATGTACATGACGTGATTTAAATCAGATAAAAGCTTGGGTGTTTTAATTTTTGATTTTTAACATGATATACAATATCTTAGCAACAAATGCTGAAATTTAGGATAGTCTATTGTTTACTCTGCGAATGATTATAGCTGGTATATGGGGTCAGGCATGACTTTCTTGGCACCCAAATTTCAACGTCAACATTTTTGAACAAGAGGGCCATGATGGCCCTGAGGTCGCTCACCTGTATATAGGCCCCCCCCCAACCCCCACTCCCCCACTGTTGCAGAGCCAATTTAACCCAAGGGCTTTTATTTGCACAAACTTGGTAGACACGCATAAGAAGATGTTTCATGCTAAACATTTAAGTTCTAGCTCATTGGGCTTTTTAAAAGAAGATTTTTTTTAGTTTTTACTATCCACATATAGTTAAAAACAATGACACCCCTGGGGCCGGGCCAGTTTTGACCCCAGGGCTTTTATTTGAACAAACTTTGTAGACACTTACTAGAAGATGTTTCATGCTTAATATCTAAACTCTAGCTATTTGGGTTTTTTCAAAGAAGATTTAAAGTTTTTGCTAAACACATATAAAGAAAATCAATGACCCCCGGGGCGGGGCCAATTTTCACCCCTGGGCTTGTATTTGAACAAACTTGGTAGACACCTATTAGAACATGTTTGATGCTCAATATCTTATCCATAGCTCTTTGAGTTCTTTAAAAGAAGATTTTTTAAGTTTTTACTATATGCATATAGGGAAAATCAATGACCCCCTGGGGCGGGGCCAATTTTCACCCCAGGGCTTTTATTTGAACAAACTTGGTAGACACCCATTAGAAGATGTTTCATGCTAAATATCTTAGCTCTAGCTCTTTGGGTTCTTTAAAAGAAGATTTTTCAAGTTTTTACTATATGCATATAGGGAAAATCAATGACCCCCCGGGGCGGGGCCAATTTTGACCCCAGGGCTTTTATTTGAACAAACTTGGTAGACACACACTAGAAGATGTTTCATGCCAAATATCTAAGCTCTAGCTGTTTGAGTCCTTTAAAAGAAGATTTTTAAGTTTTTACTATATGCATATAGGGAAAATCAATGACCCCCGGGGCGGGGCCAATTTTCACCCCAAGGCTTTTATTTGAACAAACTTGGTAGACACCCATTAGAACATGTTTCATGCTAAATATCTTAGCTCTAGCTCTTTGGGTTCTTTAAAAGAAGATTTTTTAAGTTTTTACTATATGCATATAGGGAAAATCAATGACCCCCGGGGCGGGGCCAATTTTGACCAAAGGGCTTTTATTTGAACAAACTTGGTAGACACTCACTAAAAGATGTTTCATGCCAAATATCTAAGCTCTAGCTCTTTGAGTTCTTTAAAAGAAGGTTTTTTAAGTTTTTACTATATGCATATAGGGAAAATCAATGACCCCGGGGGCGGGGCCAATTTTGACCCCAGGGCTTTTATTTGAACAAACTTGGTAGACACCAATTAGAACATGTTTCATGCTAAATATCTTAGCTCTAGCTCTTTGGGTTCTTTAAAAGAAGATTTTTTAAGTTTTTACTATATGCATATAGGGAAAATCAATGACCCCCCGGGGTGGGGCCAATTTTGACCCCAGGGCTTTTATTTGAACAAACTTGGTAGACACTCACTAGATGATGTTTCATGCCAAATATCTAAGCTCTAGCTCTTATGGTTTTTTAAAAGAAGATATTTAAAGTTTTTTCTTTCGGTTGCCATGGCAACCAGAGTTTTGCATGGAATTAAATTCTTTGAACAATTTTTAAAGGTGACCACCAAAGGAACATTCCTGTGAAGTTTGGATGAAATTGGCCTAGTGGTTTATGAGGAGATGTCATTTAAAGTAAAAGTTTACGGACGACGGACGGACGCAGGACGAAAAGCGATCACAAAAGCTCACCCTGTCACTTTGTGACAGGTGAGCTAAAAAGACATTGAAATATTACCATTTACGGAGGTTGAAATGAATTTATTGACTTAATTATAGAAGAAACATGCATTTCTTGTTGATAAAAAAGTGACTGACAACCAATGAACAAAGAAAATACTAAATCAAGCATTTTCGGGGCTGTCTGGGTTTGGTGGTTGTCCGGTTTTGGTGGTCCCGAACCAGTACACATAAAAATATCTTAGCTCTAGTCCTTGCACTTTCAGAGAAGAATTTTTAAAGATAACATCTTATGAATCAATTTTTAGCCCTTCTGACCCAGATGTTAAATGGAGCAGAACCATTTGTAGAACATCATGCTAGGAACATCCCAGGAAAATTTCATTAAATTTGGCCCAGTGATTTTTGAGAAGAAATTGTTTGTACAAAAGTTGATGACAGATGCACGCTGGACAAATTGTGATCACAGAAGGTATCCTTGAGCACTTTGTGCTATAAAAAAGACTTTCTGACTTTCATTAACAAAACGGTTTTGATCCATTACGTACAAGTTTAATATTTTTCCATAATTTTTTAACCCCTCCATATCTTTTCTTGTCAATTCAGTGTTTATGCTTTCTGTTGTGCAATTTTTCATTTAAAATAAACAAACTATGTCAAATAACATTTAATTTACTTAACTGCTGATCAAGTTCAAGGTCAATTCAACGCAGTCTAAATATCATCAGAGATGCCTATACACCATCACAATAGAGGCAGAGCGTTGCTTTGTTTTATTGATTTTACTAGATAATACAAATGACAATTATATTTAACTTCATTTGTATATGCTACCTGTTTTGGGAATGAAAATTTTCACGCATGCATTAGGTTTTGATTGTTGACACTTGTGATCGAAATAAGCAACAAGAGCACCGCATAATGTGGCAATATACGCCCGAATGCAAATTTGTTTAAAGTGAAAATAAAATTTAAAGTACTCAAAAATAATGTTTAAACAGAGAGGATACACAATTATAACATTTGTTCAAAACATGTTTTATTTCAATTATCAATATTAAGATCTATACTGATACATGCCAAAAAGCTATGCTCTTGTCACATGAGTACTTAGTGACAATTATATATGCCACAGCTTTCAGCTGTGTACAGACCCCAGACATTGTCACCATCCATGCCCTTAAAAACTAATTTTGAAGCACAGAGTGGTGATTATTTTCCTCCACGCAATTATCACGGAGTATATATACTGACTGAAAACAACTATAAAGTTGGTTTTTAAATGATAAAAATTCAAAGAAACATATAAATAATATTATACCAGAAATTCAAAAGCACAAAATATTCTGCCTAAAAATTATAATAAATCAAAATGCTATGCTTACAAATATTTTTTTCTTATTTATTACCTCCCTTTACATTTATAACACCAATACTCACACAAACATCAATCATAAATCTGATAATTCTACTTTTACAAAGTGATGATACATGCTAAAAATCTATGCTCTGCATATTGTATGTTGGAGGATAAGACTTTTAAGACATGTAAACTATATAAATCTGTATACATGTAAACTGTGCCAGACCTACCCATGCCCCCGCCAACCCTCTGGGCACAGCCATTTTTAATATCAGTGAAATGATTTTTAGAACAGTAACAGGGTTCTTCTATGTAATAATACATGCCAAATAACTGAGATCTGGGATTTCTAACTTTACGTAAGAATACATATATGAAAATAAGTTTTTCTATCTATGCAACTCCTAGGGCAGGACCAATTGACCCCAGGAGTATGATTTATATAAATTTTGTAGATGTCAACAAGGGATGCTTCATGCAAAATATCTAAGCTTAACAAAATTAATAATATTTTTGGGCACAAGAAAATGTGTTGTTATTACCTTCTTTGATTTAAAGCTTTTAAAATTCAGCAATTCAAAATGCAGAGGGCTATAAAGCTAAACAGTATTCATGTCCAAAGTTTTGATAAATTACCTTAAAAAATTGACATTTTATATGCCTCATTTACAACTTATTGTTATTAATTGAATTTAAATATCTCAAGTAAAATCAGTTTCTGTTAATAAGACTGTCTCACCTCAATTATTATAATCTTAACAGGAAAAAAATCTAAAAATATAGTTTGATAAAAAAAACAAAAAAACATTATAAAGTAATAAATTTTGGAAAATAAAGGGAGGTATATATATATATTGTTATCTCCCTTTATAATATATATAATTAATAATTATATAAGGATTTTAAATGAGTCAGTGTGACCTTGACATGACGTAGTCCAAAACTGCGCACTGCACATCATCTCAGTAATATAAATATTTCTACCAAATAGATTTAATTTCATACTATCTGTTTAAAAGAAAAGAGCGAACACAAAATTTTGAAATTGATACAAAATGACTAAGTGTGACCTAGACTTTGACCTGAGGAAGGTCAAACCTGCTGTCTGCACATCATCTAATTATGATTAAGATTTCTGCCAAGTACTTTGAATTTCCTTCCACTGGTTCAAAAGATACAGACTGGACAAGAAAACGCCTACATAAGTCTATATAAATCAATAAATCCCCAGGGTGGGGCCAATTTTAATAGTAGGAAGTCCAAACTTATGCTCTGCACACTGTCCCAATATAAGTAATATTTCTGCCAAAAAGTTTTTAATTCCTTTGATCGGTTCAAAAGACATAGAGCAGACAAAAAATTGATATTAAAACAAAATGACTAAGTGTGACCTTGACCTGAGAAAGGTCTAACCTGCGCTCTGCACATTGTCTCATTATGGTTAACATTTCTGCCAAGTAGTTTGAATTACCTACCACTGGTTAAAAAAATACAGACGGGACAAGAAAACCTGCTATCAGACAGACAACCTTGTGCATAACAATATATGCCAAAATTCTTTCAGGCATATAAATTGACTTGAAAAAGTGGCTGCTTAATATATTAAAGAAAAAGAGAGAAAATGATCAGGGGATCATAAAGTGGTCGCTACAAACAAGTAGCTTAATGCACATGGTTGCATGAGCAAGTAAGATTGTATATCACTATATCTAAAGAGGGCCATGCTGGCATTATATTGCTCATCTGACAATTATGGCTGTAAATGACAAGGGCAGATAATATTGACAATATGATTGAAAAGCAGCCATTAAGTTGAAATCAAGGTCATTAATTTGTTTCCCTTTATGTCTGGTATGATCCCGGATCATGTGCATCTAAGATCTCCTATCCTAATAGTGTCCTTGTCATCAAGTGTGCTAGAAATAACCCATGTGATAGAATTCTGTAATTTATGGTATATTCTGATGGCGGTAAAGCGAACTGTCTATTTTCAAAGCAAAAATGTCAAAATATAAAAGTTTTAAAGACATATTTTGATTTCTTTCAATTATTTTATGTATTTAAATATTAGTGCAACGGCAGATTTTCAGTCATTATGAAGAGGCATGCTGCTTTAACCTCTGGCTTTTATACAATTTTCATTTCCAAAATTTGAGAACAAATGGTCCTAATACATCTTTAACAACAATGAAGTTATGATATCACACCTAAACATCTTTTATACAACTGTACAGTCAAACTATAAATAAATAGGTTATTATTTTGATGTTTCAAATATAAGTAATGATAGAGTTTTATTTATGACACATACAGTACATACATCATGTGTCGTGAACTTGTCACAGATCTTCACTAATGTGTACAAGTATGATACATCAATACCCCATGCATCAATGCTCAACTTCTGTACAATTATCCTTTGTAACTAATGTATGAAAGCAATTCCTTTAGAAAGCCCCAAAAAAGTTTTATATCACAATCCATGTCAATGTTTTAGGACTGCTTTACACGTTTCCGTGGTGGGCCCAAAGGTGGACTCTGTTGGCTGGCTAATGCGCGGAATGCGTCTGCAATTAGATGTGGGTGACTCATTATCAATGTCTTCCAGCCTTGTGTTTCCATTACATCTGTTGCATGACTGAAATGAGAAATGTCATATCACAAGAGCTCACTAAAACATTCACTGTTATAATATAACAGACAAAAGGGCCTTGATGGCCCTGGATTGCTGACCTGAGGTACAATGCTAGAAATATTCACAACCATTCAATGCAAAAATCAGTAATTAGGTCACATTAGGTTTTCATTTTTACCCAAGCTGCAAATTTTGTTACATTTGTGGACATCTGGTAGGAAATACTACATGCCAAATAATAAAGCTCTAGGAAATCTAATTTCACACAAGAAGACTATTATAATAATTACAATATAAACACGAGGGCCATGATGGCCCTGAAATCGCTCACCTGTATATAGGCCCCTGGGCCAAGGCCAATTTTAAACCAGGGGCTTTTATTTGAACAAACTTGGTAGATATCCACTAGAGAATATTTCATGCTTAATATCTAAGCTCTAGCTATTTGGGTTTTTAAAAGAAGATTTTTTAATTTTTTTACTACAACATAAAGGAAAAAACAATGACCCCCTGGGACGGGGCCAATTTTTACCCCAGGGCATAATTTGAACAAACTTGGTAGACACCCATTAGAAGATGTTTCATGCTTAATATCTAAGCTCTAGCTATTTGGGTTTTTTAAAAGAAGATTTTGTAAGTTTTTACTATATACAAATAAGGAAAATCAATGACCCCCCAGGGAGGGGCCAATTTTGACCCCAGGGTATTTATTTGAACAAACATGGTAGACACTGACTAGATGATGTTTCATGCTAAATATTTAAGCTGTAGCTCTTTCGGTTTTCTAAAAGAAGATATTTTAAGTTTTTTCTTTTGGTTGCCATGGCAACCAGAGTTCTGCTTGGAATTAAATTCTTTGAACAACTTTTAAAGTTGACTACCAAAGGAACATTCCTGTAAAGTTTGGATGAAATTGGCTTAGCGGTTTATGAGGAGATGTCGTTTACGGATGGACGGACGCCGGATGAAAAGCGATCACAAAAGCTCACCATGTCACTTTGTGACAGGTGAGCTTAAAAGGCTTTGTAACAATGACAAATTATCTGCACCTCATGTATTTTAACAAAAAGTTCCTCATTTTTTTTTATTTGAGCAGATTGGGTACTCTTGTCTTTTTCAGACTTCAATCAATATACTGTTGTGATGTATAATATTGGACCCCTAAAAGTTGGCCTGGACCCCTCATTTTTTAACCTACTGGACCCCTAAAAGTTGGCCTGGACCCATCATTTTTTAACCTACTTGACCCCTTTAAGTTGGCCTGGAACCCAAATTTTTTAACCTTCTGGACCCCTAAAATATCAATGCCATGTAAAACCCTGATTTGAGCAATTTTATAAAGACTACCTAATGATCATTGTTGTACAGTTTCATCAAAATCTATCAAGTGGCTGAGGAGGAGTTGTTGTTTAAAGGTTTTACTATTTTAAGCTCTGACAGCCATTTTGGGAAATAATTCTGAAAATATTGGGGCTAGAGCTATAAACCTTTTTACATACAATGATGATTACTTGAAGTTTAAAGTAAGTTTTAAACTAGAAGGGTTTTTGTCAAAAAAAACATGTCTCCCAAAACTATGTATGGTCACTCTCATTAAAATCCCACTAGTAGTTTGACCTGTGAAAGCCGGACAAGATTTTTCTATTTTTAGCTCTAGCCACCATTTTGTGCAACAAACGACAGATGGTACTGATCACTCCTGTAAAGTTTGTTTGAACACCTCCAGTAGTTTGACTTGTGAAGGCGCGACAAGCTTAATACGGACAGACTGACAACCGGACGGGCACAGACAGACGGCGAAGACAAAAACATTATGTCTCCCAAAAAATTTTGGGAGACATAACTAATAAAGAAGTTACAGAAAACACTTACATTTTTTATCAGGAAATTCTTAAGTACAAGGGGAGAATATTCTTTAAATATAAGAGCTGGAGTTATATAAAAAAAACAAGAACGTGTTTGTTAAACACAAATGCCCCCGGCTCCGATTCTTCTTAGTAGCAATATTTCAAAAAATGTTTACCCATTCACTCAGTTATGGACAGAAAAATTGCCAAAAAATTGTAAACACAAGTTATATAGCTTGACAAAGTCATGGCATTTTGTAATTTTGAAAAATATAAGTTGCCAAGTAATTGCTCAACTTCATGCAAGTTATCTTCCTACCAAATATGAAATACATCTGTCAATAAATAAAGGCTGTATGGGCAAAAGTGTAAAAATCTATTTTGAGCACTGGTCACCTTGACCCAACTGACCCCTTACTCCATCCAAAGGAAGAATACCATGCAGGTTATCGTCCTACCAAATATGAAATACATCTGTCAATAAATAAAAGCTGTAGGGGCAAAAGTGTAAAAATCTATTTTTAACACAAGTGACCTTGACCCACTGATCCCTACCCCAATCAAAAGGATGAATACCATGCAAGTTATCTTCCTACCAAATATAAAATATATCTGTCACTTAATAAAGGCTGTATGAGCAAATGTGTAAAAATCTATTTATAGCACTGGTGACCTTGACCCAACTGACAACTAACTCCATCAAAGTTTATGTTTCTATCAATTATAAATAACATCTGTCTATAGAAAAAGGTCAATACACCTGTAAAAATGTAAAAATCTATTTTTAACATTGGTGACCTTGACATTGGTAACATCGACCTTGACCCAAATGACCGCTTACTACACCCAAAGAAGGAGGACCTCCCTTGGCATGTTTGTATTAAACTAAGACATCAACTAAAAAATAAAGGCTGTATGAGCAAAAATGTTTATATTTATTTTTTAAACCAGTGACCTTGACCCTAGAGACCGCTTACTCCACAAAAAATTAGAGGACCTTCAAATGTATCCACCTACTAAATATGAAAGATATCATTAAAGAAATTAAGCAATTAGGAGAAATTTAAGATAAATCCAACTTGCCGAAATAGGTTAACCAGACAAGGCCCTATTTTCAAAGTGTAAAAAGGGAAATAACTGGGAAATATGGATTACACAGTTATATAACTTGGCAATATCATGTACTTTGTATTGTTAAGTAAGTGTGGAAATTATAAAGCCATTAGTATAGATAGAACTTAAGATATTTCCAACTTGCCGTTTTAGGTTAACCATTATTCATTTTCTAAGTGCTGAAAAGGGCAATAACTTGGTAAATATGAAAGCCAGAGTTATGTAACTTGCCTAGATCATGTACTTTGTATTGATTAGTAAGTGTGTAAACTTAGAAGCCATTGGTACAGGTAGAACTTAAGAAAAATCCAACTTGCTGTTCTAGGTTAACCTCGTACGGACGGACGGACAGACGGTTCAATTACTATATGCCCGGGGGCATAAAAATGACAGTATAAAAACTGTAGGGGTCAGGACAGAGGACAACTCTCCAAAAACTTTGTTTAGTCAAGCTATAAAGGATAATGATAGGCAACAGACAATTGGGGTATCAGAATAAGACTTTGTGCACGGTAGAGTTATGGCTCTTGTACACTACATGTCCTCTTACTCATCTCACTCTGTTAAGTTTCAACACAAAACATGGCAATGCCACGAAACCTGGTTTTCAATTATCACCATTGTAGATAAATATGTTGTATTTGAAATACAAATACAAGCAACAAACAATGTAACTATGTGCAATGTAAAACATGAATAATGTAGGAGGAATTGCCACAGAAGAAGTGTTTACTATATATTCTGTATAAGGAAAAAAAACAAAGGGCCATAATTAGGTAAAAAATTATCCAATCACAAAACCCCTACAATATGCGCCAGGGCACTTGATGACAAAGCTTCTGTGAAAGTTTGAACAAAATCCGTTGAGAAATGTAGGACGAGTTCAGCACAGAAGAATTTGTTCACTATATATTGATCATTCTGTATAAGGAAAAAAAAACAAAGGGCCATAATTAGGTCAAATATTATCCAATCACAAAACCTCGACAATATGCGCCAGGGCACTTGATAAAAAAGCTTCTGTGAAAGTTTGGTCAAAATCCGTTAAAAAATGTAGGAGAAGTTGCGCACAGTAGAAATTGTTCACTATATATTCTGTATAAGGAAAAAAAACAAAGGACCATAATTAGGTCAAATATTATCCAATCGCAAAACCCTGACAATATGCCCCAGGGCACTTGATGCCAAAGCTTCTATGAAAGTTTGGTCAAAATTCGATTAGAAATGTAGGAGGAGTTGCGCACAGAAGAAATTGTTCACAATATATTCTATATAAGGAAAAAAAACAAAGGGCCATAATTAGGTCAAATATTATCCAATCGCAAAACCCCGACAATATGCGCCAGGGCACTTGATGACAAAGCTTCTGTGAAAGTTTGGTTAAAATCCGTTGAGAAATGTAGAAGGAGTTGCGCACAGAAGAAATTGTTTACGTCCGCCGCCCACTCGCCGACATACCTCAATCTAATTACCAGTTTTTTCCTTCGGAAAACCTGGTTAATAAAATCATTCAATAAATATCTCTGGAAAAGAGTGCGACAGATGGACTGAAATGAAATAAGTGGTTGCTTCTTTTGTTATTTTCATTTGTCAATTTGTTTACAATAAAGGGCAAATGGCCCCTTATTCTATTGCCACAGAATAAACTTTATTGAATTTGTTCCCTTTTGTTCTGTTTATACTTAGATCCCCCCCCCCCCCATTAATTTTCGGTAGTGCTGACAATTGAACAGACAAAAGGCCGTGCGAACAGACAAAACAGGAACTATATTTCTGTACTGTTCTTTCAGTCTTACCTATTTATGAAATCAATGGCATGTGTTTTTAACTGGTCAGCACTATGTAGGTCTGCTAGGACCAATATTTCACACACATTTTCTATAGTGAGACTTGAACACAGAGCTTCTTCACACATTACCTTCAAACGATCTAGAGCATACTGAAATATAGAAATTAATATTACCAACCAAATGTATTTCTTCATATAATACAACCAGAATATCACAAAATAAATTACACTCTATACAAAATCATTACAATAATGGATTTAAATTCAACAATAAACAAGAATAAAGTAAGAAAATAAACAAAGGGCAATAACTAAACAAGATTGCATTTGTGAAAAATGCTATGCCACCGCATTAATACAACACTAAATAGTAGTATAGGAACAGATTTTTTTTTGTTTCTATATAATTGAAGATTGCCATAATGCATAGATCCCTGACCTATCTAATTCTTATGATCAGATTAGTGGTTAAATCTATTGTTATTCAAATAAAAGATCAGAGTAGGAATATATCAATGCAGTTGAGTCTAGTGAATTTGGTGGTGAAGGTCATATTTCACACAGCCTAAATTTCATGGCTGTACATCAAAGGACAACACAGTAAGGCACAATCTAGGTCAGCTGATATCAAAGTTCACTTTACATCTAAATCTGTGCACATGGATCAAATTTCATAGCTATATATCAAAGGACAAGAAAGTAGGTCACATCATAAAAATCTAGGTCAGCTGATATCAAAGTTCAATTTTACAACTAAAACTGCACATGGTCAAAATTTCATTGCTGTACATCAAAGGACAAGAAAGAAGGTCACTGTCTCAAAACCATCTTGATGCAGGTCCACCAAAAAACGTTTCATGTCAAATATCTAAGGTGTAGCTGTCTCCAATTCAGAAAAAAATTTGTTTTAGTTTCTGTTTTTACTGTGTACATAATGAGAATCAATGCCCCGGGCAGGGCCAATTCTGACACCAGGGGAAAATTTTAAAAACTTTGGTAGAGGACCTATAGATGATATTATATAGCAAACATCAAAGCTCTATGCCTTGTACCTTCAGACAAGAAGATTTTTTAATTTTTTACTGTATGTACATAGTGAAAATCAATGACCCCCGGGGCGGGGCCAATTTTGACCCCAGGGCTATAATTTGAACAATCTTGGTAGAGGTTCACTACGCAAAGTCTCATGCCAAATATTTAACCTCTAGCCTTCGTCAATTCAGAGAAAAGGATTTTTCAAGTTTTTACTTTATACATATAAGGAAAACTATCGCCTCTGGGGCAGGGCAATTTTAACACTAGGTGTATAATTTAAGCAACTTTAGTAGAGGACCAATAGATGATACTATATACCAAATATCAGAGCTCTAAGCCTTGTACATTCAGACAATAAGATTTTTTAATTTTTTCTATATGTACATAGTGAAAATCAAAGACCGCCAGGGCGGGGCCAATTTTAACCGCAGGGCTATAATTTGAAAATCTTGCTAGAGGTTCACTACACAATGTTTCATGCAAAATATCGAACCTCTAGCATTTGTCAGTTTCCAGAAGATAATTTTTTTGAAAGTTTTTACTATATTCATATAAGGAAAACCTATGAACCCCAGGGCGGGGCTAATTATGACACTAGAGGCAAAATTTGAACAACTTTGGTATAGTACCTATAGATGATATCATATACCCAATATCAAACCTCTAAGCCTTGTACCTCTAGACAAGAAGGTATTTTAACTTTTTACTATATGTACATATAGTGAAAATCAATGACCCCCGTGACGGGCCCAATTTTGACCCCAGGGCAATAATTTGAACAATCTTGGTAGAGGTCTACCAGACAATGCCTTATGCAAAATATCTAAGCTCTAGGCCTTTTTGGTCTTTACAAGAAGATTTTTTTAAATTTATTCTAATAATTCCTTATGGTTGCCATGGCAACCAGATTTCTGCATGGAATGAAATTCTTTGAACAACTTTGGAAGCCCTTCACCCAAGGATCAATCCTGCCAAGTTTTGTTGAAATTGGACTAGTGGTTTTTCACAAGATTTTTTTAATATAACACACACACACACACACACACACACACACACACACACACACACACACGCACACAGGTGAATGGCTATATGCCACCGCATCGCAGATGCTGTGGTGGCATAAAAATATATTGCAATACTTTATGTTGAAAAGTTTAGATCTAGTATGGCTAAATTTCGTAGTTCATGCCATAATTTAATGATTGAACAGGGTAGACATAAGAATATTCCGAGAGACTTCCATTTCTGTCCCTATTGTGAAACTGTTATTGAGGATGAGTTTCATTTTGTTCTTATATGTCCTCTTTACTCTGAAATCAGAGGAAAATTCATACCATCAAGATTTATTAATAATCCTACTTTGGATACATATTACAGGCTGATGTCATGTGACAGTACAAATGTTATAAGAAACTTATAATAGCCATGTTTATTAATTAAAAAAAGAGAAGACTTTCTGTCAGTGTTTTTATTTTTTTCATTTTCCATTGGGTTTATCATGTTCTCTCATTCTGAGATTATTGAGAATGAAAGCTTATGTATTTCTTACATTTTATGGAATGTTTATTAGATATTATACATTATTAAGCAAAGTTTTGGTTGTGTTGTAAGTATCAGGCATTATTAAATAACAGTTGATATTGTAAGCCTAATGAGAGGAAGCAATGTGTTTTTTATGCCAATGTGTATTATGTTAGTTTGGTATTATAAACTGAAATTTGACATTGTTAATCCTTGACTTCATGCTTCATATTTAGATGTAAATTATAATGCTGTATATATACTAATCAAAAGTTCTAACGCTCGTCTCAATTGAACTTTATTTCAAAACGAAGAAATGTACACATATGAAATATTCACCACACGTATATAATATCAACTACACGTACGTTTTATAATAGCTTCATGCTTGAGAGCACACACGCTTGGTCAGTCAAAATCGCTTTTCTCGTGCATAATCGCTTCATGTGAATTTTCAATCAATAAAATTCGAACAAAACACTTCTTAGCGTATACCCACATGTAGTCATAACAGCCATTTTATTGAATGATTCCGTAATTATGCCAAAACTAAGGATTGAAAAAAGAGAGCGTGCGATTGGGATGTTACAAGCCGGAGCGCGCGTAAGCAATGTAGCGAGGCAAATAAGATGTGCTGAGAGTACAATACGTAGACTGTACAGACAGTTTCAAGCTACAGGTACTTTCTTTTATTTTTATATTTTTTTTTATTTTTGTGGTTTTGTCAATATTAATGTAATTTTATCACATAAAAAACACGTTAAATTACGGAACAACACTATCGAAACAATTGATAGAAACCCTACTGATTATCTAAAGTTACTTTCTCTATTCTTATTCCAGGTTCTGTTGCAGACGGCGAGTAACTACACTTGCACAAGATAATAGACTTGAAACATCCCAGATGCGGAATCGCACAAGACCTGCAGAGCGCATCGCTGCCGTTACCATCTACGAGTAAATTGGATCTCGTTATCATTCGTGGGAACATGAATGCTAAAAGTTACATAAACAATGTCTTAAATCCCGTTGTCATACCATTTATAAATCGACAAAATGACGTCAGTTTCCAACAAGATAACGCAAGACCCCACCCGGCATGAATCACAGCTCAACATTTGCAACAAAACAATATTAACGTGTAACCGTGGCCTGCATGTTCTCCTGATCTTTCACTCATAGAGCATTTATGGGATGAGCTCGGACGTCGTGTACGTCAACATCTAGCTGCGCCTAGAACACTCCAAGACCTTGAGAATGCGTTGCTTCAGGAATGGCAGAACATCCCCGTTCCGACAATTACACGTTACATAAACTCCATGCGCCGCAGATGTATTGCAACAGTTGTTGCTAGAGGCGGATATACACTTTATTGACTTTGTTACTTTTGAAACTGACCCTTGTGATACGGAAAAGTCGATTTCTCGTTTATTTGTTGGGATTGTTTTGTTTTGCTTTTGCATTTTGTTTTGGGATAGAATGAATTTATTTCAATAAAAATTTTGGAATCGAATATTTTACCGTTTTTCTAAAAAATAGTCCCAAATCATAATTAGCGTTAGAACTTTTGATTAGTATATATGTGTATGGGCCAGAGGCCTGATTATGCAAATAAACTTGCAAACTTGATGGTATTTAACAAAAGGTTGTTATTGATAAGTTGCCGCACTTTGAAGTTTTGATAGAAAAAAGCAATGCCAAATTGTGATTTTTGGCAATTTTGAGACGTCCCCTTGTTGCCATGGTAACAGGAAATTTAAGATTGAGCATGCTGTTACAGAAGCTATGGTCCAGTCAACATTTTTGCCAAGTTTCATCAGTATTGAAGCATTTTTTCATAGTTTCATAGTGATTTGAACATGTAACAGGAATCTTTTCAATACAAGAACCGGTTGAACTGGGTGTTGTTCCCCGAATAGGTTTTGGACACAGGAAAGTATACCTATTGTAGTGTCAGAGTTATGTCACAGACAAAGTTCAAAGTTTAAAAATGAACAAAGGGCAATAACTCCAAAGTTGGGCAAGGCAGAGTTAAGGTTCTTTTGCACTGCACTTCTATCTAATGAGATCAATCTACCTACAAAGTTTCATGTTGATACCTCTAATGGTTTCAGATTTATGTCTCATACAAAGTTCAAAGCTGCAGAAAGTAAAAAATAGTATTAGTCATAAGAAATAAGAGGGCCATGATGGCCCTGAAATTGCTCACTTGTATATAAGCCCCCTGGGCGGGACCAATTTTAACCCAGGGGCTTTTATTTGAACAAACTTGGTAGTCACCCATTTGAAGATGTTTCATGATAAATATCTAAGCTCTAGCTGTAAGAAGATTTTTAGTTTTTACTATACACATATAGAGAAAAACAATGACCCCCCCCCCCACTCTGGGCGGGGCCAATTTTGTCCCCAGGGCTTTTTTTATTTGAACAAACTTGGTAGACAATCACTAGAAGATAATTCATGCTTAATATCTAAACTCTAGCTCTTTGGGTCTTTTAACAGAAGATTTTTTAAGTTTTTACTATATACATATAAGGAAAATCAATGATGACTAATTTTAATCCCAGGGCCCTTATTTGAACACAAGAGCGATCAGTGATCACATGTGTCGCCTCATGATGGCAATTTCATGTTGGGACAAGTTTTGTGACAGAGGGACAGTGCACAACTAGACTTGGTTCCTGTAAAGTTTGGATAAAATTGCACCAGTAGTTTCTGAGGAGTAGTCCGGACAAGCTTTTGTGTATCTAGCAACACACAGAAAAAAACACCTTATCAAAGGGCCATAACTCGGAAAACCCGTGCAATATGCGCAAGGACTTGAGCTACAGATCAATCCTGTAAAGTTTCATTGAAATTGCATTAGTGGTATAAGAGAAGTAGTCCGGACAAACTTTAAAAATAAAAATTATTAAAAGCCATCACTCTTACAAAAATCATTGAACCGGAAAATGCTGACAATATGCACAACTAGACTTGGTACTGATCATTCCTGTACAGTTCGGATGAAATTGCACCAGTAGTTTATGAGGAGTAGTCCGGACAAGTTTTGTGACGGACGGACAGACAGACAGACGACGGAGAAGCGACACAAAAAATGGTAGACACCCATTTGAAGATGTGTCATGCTAAATATCTTAGCTATAGCTCTAAGGGTTTTTTAGAAGAAGATTTTTAAAGTTTTTACTATATACATAAAGGGAAAAACAATGATCCCCTGGGGCGGGGCCAATATTGACCCCCATGGCTTTTATTTGAACAAACTTGGTAGACACCCATTAGAAGATTTTCATGCTTAAAAGCTAAGCTCTACCTATCTGGATTTATTAAAAGAAGATTTTTTAAGTTTTTATTATATACAAATAAGAAAAATTAATGACCCCCCCCCCCGGTAGACACTGACTAGATGATGTTTCATGCCAAATATTTAAGCTCTAGCTCTTTAGGTTTTTTTAAACAAATATTTTTTAAGTTTTTTCTTTCAGGTGCCATGGCAACCAGAGTTCTGCATGGAATTAAATTCTTTGATCAATTTTTAAAGTTGACTTCCAAAGGAACATTCCTGCGAAGTTTGGATAAAATTGGCTCAGGGGTTTATGAGGAGATGCCGTTTAAAGTAAAAGTTTACGGACAGACGACATTTATATATATATTTCATAAAAAATTTCATAAATTTTGAGTACAAACAATCATTTTGCTTTTGTGGATTGTTAGCTGAATGTTACTTTTTGTTTCTTACCAAAATTTAATGGGAAAACATTTTTCATAAGGATGATATTGTGGAATATATTAAAGGTAAAAAAAAATCCTTATTTTTGAAAAAGGGGCATTAGTTCAAGAAATTGGCCATAACTCGAATTCCGAACAATAAAGTACCCTCGGGTGGTCATACCCTAATAAAAGTTATGTCAATAATTTGACCTTTCTTAAAGATCAAGGTCATTGATCAATGGTCATTTGCTCAACACAAGGGTTTTATACTATGTGTTGTTTTGACTAAGTATGAAACAGATACATTCATTAATTATAAAATTACAGTCAACTTAAGCAAAATTCAATAATTTTGTCATAAATTCAAGGTCAAGGTGAGTTTGATCATCTTGAAGGTAAGTTAAAATGGTTGTTCTGTCCAAGCTTGTATACCATACTTCCATTACTAAATAAGCTACATTCAATTTTAGCAAAATTATCTACTACTCATAACCAACCTCTATATCAAACCCAAATCAGTATCAAATCAAAAGACTGTTGGCCAAAGCATTCGAAGTATTAGTCAGACAAGGTCTGGTCTATGGACTGACCATCAATATGTAAAAACAATAAATATACCCCCACTTTTGGAAGGAAGGGCAGGGAAGGGAGGCATAGTTATCAACATACCTTATCAGCTGCTGCTAAAAGATCATCTGCCATTTTTTCTAAGTTAGGTGCTTTACCAGTATAAATAAAGCGTAACATTTCTCGCATTACATCTTGGTCTACATCTGCTATGTCCACACGATTCTGAAAAATAAAAAGATAAATGAAACATAGCTTTTTCACATAAAAAGTCTATTACTTTAAGGTCATATGACATAATAAAGTTTTTAAGTACATCAAGTGATCCATGCTGTTCGCTATCAGTTTCTCTACTTATAATTGAGTTTGTAAGCGAACAGCATACATCCTTATCAGACTGCGCGAATGTGCAGGCTGGTCTGGATCCATGCTGGTCGCAAACCCATTATGTTGGTTTTGTCGTGACGCGGCTCATATGTACATATAAGAAAAATCAATGACCCCCTGGGGCGTGGCCAATTTTTACCCCATGGCTTTTATTTGAACAAACTATGTAGACACTCACTAGAAGACATTTCATGCTTGGTATCTAAACTCTAGCTCTTTGGGTTTTCTATAAGAAGACTTTTTTAAGTTTTTACTATATACATATAAGGAAAATCAATGACCCTAAGGGTTTTATTTGACCAAACTTGGTAGACACCCACTATGAGTAGAGAAGTTTCTTGCTAAATATCTAAGCTCTAGCTCTTTGGGTTTTTTAAACAAGAGGCCCCTGGGCCAAGGCCAATTTTGACCCCAAGGCTTTTATTTGAACAAACTTGGTAGACACTCACTAGAAGATATTTCATGCTTGGTATCTAAACTCTAGCTCTTTGGGTTTTTAATAAGAAGATTTTTTAAGTTTTTACTATACACATGTAAGGAAAATTAATGACCCATGGGACGGGGCCAATTTTAACCCAAGGGCCCTTATTTGAACAAGCTTGGTAGACACCCATTAGAAGATGTTACGTGCTAAATATCTTAGCTCTAGCTCTTTGGGATTTTTAAAAGTAGAATTTTTTAAGTTTTTACTATACACATATAAGGAAAAACAATGACCCCCTGGGGCAAGGCAAATTTTTACCCCAGGGCTTTTATTTGAACAAACTTGGTAGACACCCACTAGAAGATGTTTCATGCTTTATATCTAAGCTCTAGTTAGAAGATTTGTTTAAGTTTTTAATATATACAAATAAAACAAGAGGGCCATGATGGCCCTGAGGTCGCTCACCTGTTTATAGGTCCCCCCCCGGCAGAGCCTATTTTAACACAAGGGCTTTTATTTGAACAAACATGGTAGACACCCATAAGAAGCTGTTTCATGCTAAACATCTAAGCTCTAGCTCATGGGGTTTTTTAAAAGAAGTTTTTTAATTTTTTACCATACACATATAGTTAAACCTGGGGCGGGGCCAGTTTTGACCCCAGGGCTTTTATTTGAACAAACTTTGTAGACACTTACTAGAAGATGTTTCATGCTTAGTATCTAAACTCTAGCTATTTGGGTTATTTCAAAGAAGATTTTAAGTTTTTGCTATACACATATAAGGAAAATCAATGACCCCTCGGGCGGGGCCAATTTTGACCCCAGGGCTTTTATTTGAACAATTTTTGTAGACACTCACTAGAAGATGTTTCATGCTTAATATCTAAACTCTAGCTATTTGGGTTTTTTCAAAGAAGGTCTTAAAGTTTTTGCTATACACATATAAGGAAAATCAATAACCCCCGGGGCATGGCAAATTTTGACCCCAGGGCTTTTATTTGAACAAACTTGGTAGACACCCATTAGAACATGTTTCATGCTAAATATCTCATCTCTAGCTCTTTGGGTTCTTTAAAAGAAGATTTTTTAAGTTTTTACTATATGCATATAGGGAAAATCAATGACCCCCTGGGGTGGGGCAAATTTTGACCCCAGGGCTTTTATTTGAACAAACTTTGTAGAGACGCATTAGAAGATGTTTCATGCTAAATATCTCAGCTCTAGCACTTTGGGTTCTTTAAAAGAAGATTTTTTAAGTTTTTACATAAGGGGAAAATCAATGACCCCCTGGGGCGGGGCCAATTTTGACCCCAGGGCTTTTATTTGAACAAACTTGGTAGACACTCACTAGAAGATGTTTCATGCCAAATATCTTAGCTCTAGCTCTTAGGGTTTTTTAAAAGAAGATATTTAAAGTTTTTTCTTTCGGTTGCCATGGCAACCAGAGTTCTGCATGGAATTAAATTCTTTGAACAATTTTTAAAGGTGACCACCAAAGGAACATTCCTGTGAAGTTTGGATGAAATTGGCCTAGTGGTTTATGAGGAGATGTCATTTAAAGTAAAAGGTTACGGACGGATGACGGACGGACGACGGACGAAAAGCAATCACAAAAGCTCACCCTGTCACTTTGTGACAGGTGAGCTAAAAAATTAATGACCCCCAATGCGGGGCCAATTTTGACCCCATGGCATTTATTTGAACAAATATGGCAGACACTGACTAGATGATGTTTCATGCCAATATTTAAGCCCTAGCTCTTTCGGTACTCTAAAAGAAGATATTCTAAGTTTTTTCTTTCCGTTGCTATGGCAACCAAAGTTCTGCTTGGAATTAAATTTTTTGAACAATTTTTGAAGTTGACTACCAAATTCAAGTTCCTGTGAAGTTTGGATGAAATTGGCTTAGAGGTTTATGAGATGTCATTTAAAGTAAAAGTTGAGGGACGCGGGACAAAAAGTGATCACAAAAGCTCACCATGTCACTTTGAGACAGGTGAGCTTAACAAGAGCTGTCACAGGAGACAGCGAAGCTCGACTAATTAAATACAGGACGCAGTAAGGAAGACAAAACTATGAAGAAAAAAAAATCAATTATGATATAAATATATTTCTTCTTCTGACAAGAAGTTATTGTTGTTAACATAAATTCCAAGGGAGAATAATTCTAGCAAAAAATCACACTAGAGTTATGGACCTTGTCACACAAAATGTGTGTAATAATAAGATACATATATTATAAGTTTTTTATAAGAAGTAGATACCTTAAAAAGTAAAGAAGTTATAATATTTCTTAAAGTTCAAAGGGAGATAAATCTGAAAATATTGCTTCAAGAGTTATGAACCTTGTCACATAAGATGTGGTTGATAATAGGAATATGTATTTGAGGTAGATACCTTTAAAACAAAAGAAGTTATAGTAACAAATAACATTTTTAAGTGAGTGTAAGTGAATGGGGAGATAATTCTTGCAATATTAGTAGGAACCTTGTAACATAAGATGTACATGTAGTTAATGATAAGGAACATATATTTCAAGTATTAAGTTGATCCTTTAAGAAATAAAGAAGTAACAGTAAAAAATAATATTTTTTAAGCAAAATTCTATGTTCAAGGGGAGATAAATCTGAAAATATAGGTGCTAAAGTTATGAACCTTGTCACATAAGATGTGGTTGATGATAAGGAACAGATATTTGAAGTATCAAGTTGATCCCTTAAGAAATAAAGAAGAAACAGTAAAAAAAAAAAATATTTTTAAAGGAAAATTCTAAGTTCAAGGGGAGATAAATCTGAGAATATAGGTGCTAAAGTTATGAATCTTGTCACATAAGATGTGGTTGATGATGAGGAACAGACATTTGAAGTATCAAGTTGATACCTTAAGAAATAAAGAAGTAACAGTTAAAAAAAATAAAATTTAAGGAAAATTCTAAGTTCAAGGGGAGATAAATCTGTAAATATTGGTGTTAGAGTTATGAACCTTGTCACATAAGATGTGGTTGATGATTAGGAACATATTTGAAGTTTGAAGTTGATACCTAAAGAAATGACAAAGTTAAAGTGAAAAATATTTTACTGCACCAAAACTTTAATCTGAAATCTGGATGCGGACAGCGACCTCGGTGCGAGTGGGACAGCTCTCCATATACTTTGTATAGTCGAGCTAAAAAAGAGTTTGTAAGTTTTCACTATATACGTATAAGGAAAATCAATGACCCCCTGGGGCGGGCCAATTTTGACCACAAGACTTTTGTTTGAATAAACTTGGTAGACAATGACTAGAAGATGTTTCATGCCAAAGATCTTAGCTCTAGCTCTTTAGGTTTTTTAAAAGAGATTTTTAATTTTTTTTTCTTTCAGTTGCCATGGCAACCAGAGTTCTAAATTGAATTAAATTCTTTGAACAATTTTTAAAGGTGACCAACATTCCTGTGAAGTTTAGATGAAATTGGCTTAGCGATTTATGAGGAGATGTTGTTTAAAGTTAAAGTTTATGGACAGATGAATAAAATTGTAATCACAAAATCTCATCTTGTCACTTTGTAAAAAGGCCACAAAGACTCACAAGCAAGGAAAAGGTTCTTGTTCTTACTGTTGTACAGCAACATATTAATGCTCAATTTCCCAACCACAAAATTTAAATGATCAAAGAATACCCTAAGTTAAACTTCCATACAAATATCATCAAAAAGTAATGCCAGAGTTATAAGTCTTGGACAGTAACCTTCAATAATAATTTCAGGAACATGAATTAAGTTTGAAACAAATACCATCATTAGAAATAAATGTTGTACATAAAACTTAACCAAAGAATTTCTAAAGGTGTACAAAGTGCCATAAATATGTCATAGGCTATGCCAGGATTATAAGTCTTGGACAGTTTCCTAAAGTGATAATCCTACTCATTAATTTTATTTCAAACCAAATACTTTCTAACTCATTTTAAGATAAGCTTTAAAACCATAATGTTCACAAAGGGAGATAAATAAATAAAAATCCATGTCAGGGTTATGGGCCTTGAACAGGAACTTTTGTTTGTTTAATTGGGTTTTATGTCGCACGGACACAGGATAGGTCATATGGCGACATTCCAGCTTTACTGGTGGAGGAAGACCTCAGATGTCCTTCAGTGCATTATTTCAGGCACAAACGGGCACCCGAGTAGAAACACCGACGTTCAGTAAGCTAGCTGGATAGCTTCCTCACATGAAAGAATCCAAAGTCCCTGTTGGGACTCGAACCCACAGCGGTGAGGGGCAAGTGGTTTGAAGTCAACAACCTTAACGCCCCCTGAACAGGAACTTTAATCATGATTTTAAAAACATGTGTTAAGTTTGAAGTGTTTTTTCAGTAGTTTTGAAAATTGATGTTGCTTTCAAAACTTTATCCATTAAAATTCAAAAAGCAGGAGACCCTGATTAATATCCCAATGAAATTTGCTTTTTGCAAAATAAACTAGAACTATCACTAAATGTGATTAATACCCCCGCAAGGCTTCTTCGAAAATGAGTAAGTTACTAGTAACAGAATACCTTGTAAAAGAATTAAAATAGAGTTATGGTTCTGGGCAATTAAAGATTGTTGTGTTTCTTCTATGTTGCATTTCCTTTCAATGTGGTTGGCCATTGATGAAGTTTTATTGAATTACTCTGTAATAAGTCCAGAAAGAGTTATGCTTCTTGAGCACTGCACTTCATCTCATTGCGCTTGACCATTGTATGAAGTTGCATTGAATTCTAAACATTAGTTTTTAGGTTATGCACCGGACAAAGAAAAGGAACAAAAGGCAATAACTCTACAAATACTGAAGATGGAGTCATGGTTATTGTACACTGCACTTCCTCTCATTGGGCTAAACCATTGTATGAAGTTGTATTGAACTACAACTACTAGTTTTCAAGTAATGCACTGGACAAAAAAGTAACAAAGGGCAATAACTATGTAATTAGTCAAAATAGAGTTATGGTTCTTGTGCACTGCACTACATCTTATTGTTCTTGACCATTGTATGAAGTTAGATTGAATTCAAACCATTAATTTTCAAGTTATGCACTGGACAAGAAGAAGTATCAAAGGGCAATAACTCTGTTATTAATCAAGATGGAGTTATGGTTCTAGTGCATTGCACTTCCTCTCAATGTGCATGACTATTGTATTAAGTTGTACTGAATTCCAACTAGTAGTTTTCAAGTTATGCTCTGGACTAGAAAAAAGCAATGGAAAAGTAACAAAGCCATGTCAACATGGCCATCCCCCGCCGAATGTGTTTGCTCATTGGAAGAATGTATATGTAGTAGAACAGAATAATTCTATTTTAAGAGGTCTTTTAGTAATGAAAATTGATGGCTATAGTGATTACAGATTTGAAACCTATGTGAATACTGACGGCTGAAAATAACAAAGGGCAATAACTGAAAAATAATGCAGGGTAGGTTATCATTCTTGTGTGCTGCATCCCTCCTCAGTAAAATCTATCCACCTATGAAGTTTCAAGTTGATACCTCAAAATACTTTTTGAGAAAAAAAATTGAATTGAAAAATTAAGTATGAAAAAGAACAAAGGGCAATAACTCAAAAAATTATAAAAGGTAGAGTTATCATTCTTGTGCAGTGCACACCTCCTGAGTGAGATCTATGCACCTATGAAGTTTCATTTTGATATCTCAAAGGCTTTTTGAGTTATGCTCTGGACAAAAATTAATTTTAAAAAAATAACAAAGGGCAATAACTCAAAAATAATGCAGGGTAGAGTTATCATTCTTAAGCACTGCACTCCTCCTCAATGAGATCCATCCACCTTTGAAGTTTCAAGTTGATACCTTAAATACTTTTTGAGATAAGCTCTGGACAAAATAGCATGAAAAAAAAACAAAGGGCAATAACTCAAAAATTGTATAGGGAAGAGTTATCATTCTTGCGCACAACATTCCTCCTCAATAAGATCTATCCACCTATGACATTTCATGTTGATATCTCAAACACTTTTTGAGTTATGCTCCACTCAGGTGAAAAATTAGGTATGAAAAATAACAAAGGGCAATAACTCAAAAATTATGAAAGGTAGAGTTATCATTCATGTGCACTGCACACCTCCTGAGTGAGATCTATGCACCTATGAAGTTTCATGTTAATATCTCATAGGCTTTTGGAGTTATGCTCTGGACAAAAATCAATTTTGAAAAATAACAAAGGGCAATAACTCAAAAATCATGCAAGGTAGAGTTATCATTCTTGAGCACTGCACTCTTCCTCAATGAGGTCTATCCACCTATGAAGTTTCAAGTTGATAACTCAAATACTTTTAGAGATATGCTCCGGACAAAAATGTCGGACGGAAGGTCGGACGGACGGACGGAGACTATTTCTATATCCTCCGCCGAAAATTTTCGGCGGGGGATAACAAATGGCAATAACTTTATAATTACTCTGGACAAAGTTATGGTTCTTGTGCACGGCACTTCCTCTTATTGTGCTTGACCATTGTATGAAGTTGTTTTGAATTCCAACCAGTACTTTCTAAGTTATGCTACGGACAAGGAAAAGTATCAAAGGGCAATAACTCTGTAATTTGTCACAATGGAGTTATGGTCCTTGTGCACTGCACTTCCTCTTAATGTGCTTGACCATTGTATGAAGTTGTTTTGAATCAAAACTAGTGGTTTTCAAGTCATGCTCTGGACAAGGAAAAGTAACAAAGGGCAATAAATCTGAACATACTTTAGAGTTATGGTTACTGTGCACTGCACTTCCTCTTATTGTGCTTGACCATTGTATGAAGTTGATTTGAATTTCAACCAGTAGTTTTCAAGTTATGCTCGGGACAAGGAAAAGTAACAAAGGGCAATAACTTTGTAATTACTTTAGAAAGAGTTATGGTTCTTGTGCACTGCATTTCCGCTTATTGAGCTTGACCATTGTATGAAGTTGTTTTGAATTCCAACCAGTAGTTTTCAAGTTATGCTCTGGACAAGGAAAAGTAACAAAGTGCAAAACTCTGTAATTAGTCAAGATAGAGTTATGGTTCTTGTGCACTGCACTTCCTCTTAATGTGCTTGATCATTGTATGAAGTTGTATTGAATTCCAATCATTAGTCTTCAAGTTATGCTCTGGACAAGGAAAATGCAACGGACCGCTGGACCGTCCAACCGACTGACCACCAGGTGACTCCTATATACCCACCAAACATTGTTTTGGCGGTATAAATATGTATCAATTAAGAACATAGCTATCGCCACTATTGTATTTGTCCCAGCAAAAATTTGTCAAAATTCCTCTAAAAGGGAAAACAACATAAAAAATTCCCCCCTTTATGGGGTATTTTTCCCCCCCTAAACCCGGGCTCGATTGTCACTTTATTGTAAAATGTCAAAACCCCTTTAATATGCAAGTAATACATGAATTTTTTTCTGCCCCAGTTTCATTAGAATTTGTTGAGAGCTGTCACAATCGGCAAGCATTTGTTAATTGTAACCTTAGCAGCATTGCCAACATTTTAGCAAGTTCAAATTCTCATAGAATTTTATGCTTACATTCTATTTGTTTGTTTGTTTCATTTTACGCCTTTTCCCCAACAGTATTTCAGTCATATAGGCGGGTAGTTTCCTAACCATTGTTCCTGGAGAGTTACACTAGTACTAGACTACTTTCCTCCGCGCTAAACTACCAAAGCATCTCCCTGGGATCGAACCCACGCCAGAGTGGTAACTGGATTAGAAGTCATCGACTCTAACCCCTCGACGACGGAGGCGGTTACATTCAATTTTTTTTAATACAAGTTCTAACTTAAAAATTTAATTTCATAGCTTATTTTTTTCTCCTTTAAGCTAAAAAAATTGAGTGACATTAAAACTCTTATTCATTTAAATATATAAGAACAGTTACTATATAACAACATCAGTAATTAATCCATCACTTACCTGTTTCTTCTCCTCCATCTCAGTGCCAAAAATTGCCTTTAAAAACCATTTTACCTTGCTAAAATGAAAAAGAAACATGGTTTTTTAAAAGTATCTTTAAAAATTATAAACCTATTTCACCCCAGTGAAGGCAAAGCTATTAAGAAAACATAACATAACATGAACATACATACATATAGATATGCAGAACTTCACATTTATATGGTACACAACAAATAAATACAGTCAGATTAACAAAAATATCTCATTAATACCCCGGTCACATATTCATAGAAACGCCCACGGAAGAGCCACGGATTAATTCCTGCATCATCCATAGCTACCCGTTCTGGTCAGTAGCTCTCCGTATTGTAACCGTAATCAATCGTAGTAGTCCTTGTATATCCGTAGCCATCCTTGACAATTTTTGAACATGCACAAAAATTTGCTACGGAAAAAATCAACCGTAGCGTATCCCTATTAGTCCGTATTTAACAGTACTGATATGTACTGGTCCGTACAAAAACCGTACTCAGTCCGTTCTGATTCGTAGGCCCCAACTTGTCAAGGATTTCTACGGTTTGGTACGGAAAACTACATATTTGTACGGTTTTCCCACGTATAAGCTACGGTTTTAATACGGATTAATACGGCATTGTCACGGAAAGCCACGTTCGTAATACGTTGTACTATGGAGAAGCAGGGATTAGCACGGTCTTATATGGTTTATTGCATTGCATCACGAAACGGTACGGAATGGTACGGCACACCACTGTTTAGTACGGATAAAACAAGAGCGATCAGTAATCACATGTGTCGCCTCATAATGGCCAATTTCATGTTGGGACAAATTTTGTGACAGACGGACAGACAGACGGACAGTGCACAACTAGACTTGGTACTGATCAATCATGTAAAGTTTGGATAAAATTGCACCAGTAGCTTATGAGAAGTAGTCCTGACAAGCTTTTGCGTATCTGGCAACACACAGAAAAAACACCTTTTTATCAAAGGGCCATAACTCAGCCAAAAATCATTCAACCGGAAAACCCGTGCAATATGCGCAAGGACTTGAGCTACAGATCAATCCTGTAAAGTTTCATTGAAATTGCATAAGTGGTATAAGAGAACTAGTCCGGACAAACTTTAAAAATAAAAATTATTAAAGGGCCATAACTCTGACAAAAATCATTGAACCGGAAAATGCTGACAATATGCACAACTAGACTTGGTACTGATCATTCCTGTAAAGTTTGGATGAAATTTCACCAGTAGTTTCTGAGGAGTAGTCCGGACAAGCTTAATTGTGTATCTGGCAACACACAGAAAAAACACCTTTTTATCAAAGGGCCATAACTCGGCCAAAAATCATTCAACCGGAAAACCCTTGCAATATGCGCAAGGACTTGAGCTACAGATCAATCCTGTAAAGTTTCATTGAAATTGCATAAGTGGTATAAGAGAACTAGTCCGGACCAACTTTAAAAATAAAAATTATTAAAGGGCCATAACTCTGACAAAAATCATTGAACCGGAAAATGCTGACAATATGCACAACTAGACTTGACACTGATCATTCCTGTAAAGTTTGGATGGAATTGCATCAGTAGTTTATGAGGGGTAGTCCGGACAAGTTTTGTGACGGACGGACGGACAGACAGACGGACAGACAGACGACGGAGAAGTGATCCCTATATAAGAATCATGTACTTTTTCAAGGGTATAAATACTACCTTCTTGTTAAAAACAGACATTTTTGCCTGAACAATCAATAAATGATAATTGCCATTAACTGGCTGCAACTGTATATTGATATACAGTGGTCGAGCTGCATGATGACATGCATAGAGGTAAAAAATATGTAATTATCGTAATATAATAATATTTTTAATGTTACATATTTTAAACAAGAGGGCCATGATGGCCCTATATCGCTCACCTTAAGGAATAGATCTTAACTGGATTTTTCTTATTTAAAACAAGCAACAGGTTCATAAAATTCTTTAATGTTATTTAAAGCTTAGTGTCAAATGTAAAGTATTTTTGGTTTTGTTTGTTTTGGGTTTTACGTCACATCGACACAGTATAGGTCATATCACGACGTTCCAGCTTTACTGGTGGAGGAAGACCTCAGGTGCCCTTCCGTGCATTATTTCAGGCACGAACGGGTACCCGAGTAGAACCACCAACGTTCAGTAAGCTAGCTGGATAGCTTCCTCACATGAAAGAATCCAAAGTCCCTGTTGGGATTCGAACCCACAGCGGTGAGGGGCAAGTGGTTTGAAGTCAACGACCTTAACCACTCGGCCACAGACGCCCCAAGTATTTTTGGTCAACAGCAACAGGAATGCAATCAAGTGTATAGAAATACCTCTTTTTTCTTTTCTTTAAAGTATAGGTTGTGTAGTGTGTTTACATCATGAAATTTTTTAACAATGACATCATAATTCACAAGGGGAAGTACAAATTTGGATAATACTTCAATAACAAGAGCTGTCGGAAGGACAGCACGCTCGACTATTCTAAGTGCTTGATAGTAAAAGAGCCTTGATAATGTTAAATTTTTTAAGTTCACAAAAGGGCTAATTTTTTTTTATAAATTCATGTTATAGGCCTTAGAGAGAGTCTAATTATACAGTATTGGCTTGACTATTCGGAAGGTAATGTCACAAGGGTGTTTTATTGAGTATAATAACACTAATTACCTATGAATACATAAATTTGACAGAAAAGGTACAAAGGCTTGTTATTAAGATGTTTTATCAAGTAAATCACTGCTTTATTATTATGAATGCATAAAATTGTTCCCAAAAAGGCACAAACCTTTCAGTAGTTATTGAGATAACAGCTTACAAGCAAAACTTTACCATGAATTTGTAAGTTCAAGGGTGCCATAGTCACAAAATACGCCCGTTTACGAAAGCCCAAGATGGAGATGGGGGCATTATGGATAAGTGTTATCTAGCAAGCAAGTTTTTATCCTTGGCACTGTGTTGTTAAATGAACCTTAAAACAAATCAGTAGGGAAGATAAAAAGTACATGTAATTGTAATTTAATAACTAAAAAATTCTGATTTAAGATTTTATTCTAGGGAAATACATTTCATTACAATTCTTAATCTTTGAATGAGCTGAACTGATATTTACTTGAAAATTAAAATATAATTAAATTTCTATGGGAAAGTATTTACATTTGATAAGGTAATTACTGTATGATCTTTATGAACAAATACCAAGTCTACAGAACACCATAGTTATCACAGTTAAGAATCTTGACCAATGAATGAAACATGTGTAAATAAATGTTACATTCTTTAGAACATACTCAAGTCCAAGAAAGAGGATTATTTTATGCCCTTTGATTAAATTCTATTTTTAGAATTGAAAGTGAAAGTAGATCAAGGGAGTAATTGTGTAAGTCATTTATGAACAAAGTAATAACTTTGTTGTTGCCCTTTGATTAAATTCTATTTACAAAATCTGGATATTTCATCATCTTTAGTGACCTTGACCTTGTATATATTGACCTAAATTATATGTATCACAGCCATAGTCTTGATAATGACCATTTGTGTTACAATCCTCAATAAATGATGACTAAATGGTCCATATACACATCTTCATATTTTTATCTGAACTTTGACCTCTATGTGTGACCTTGACCTTGGCCGCAAGGACCTGAATCTTGCACGCGACACTCCGCCTCACAATGGTGAACATTTGTGCCAAGTAATATTGAAATCCCTCTATGTATGTAGATGTTTTGCTCCGGACAAGCGTTTTTCAATGACCCCTTAAGTGTGACCATGACCTTTTACCTAGAGACCTGGTTAATGTGCGCAACACAGCTTCTCATAGTGGTGAACATTTCTATGAAGTTTCATTAAAATCCCTCCATACATGTAGGAGATATGCTCCGGACAAAATTGGACGCCGCCCGCGCCCGCCCGCCCGCCCGCCGCCCGCCAGGGGCGTTCCATAATACATCCCGTTTTTCAAACGGGCGTATAAAAAGGGGAGGAAAATCAGCCTAAATGCAAGATAGAATTATGGACCTTTGTCAGTGACCTACAATTATGACCCTAAATGCATATGTGAAGTTTTAAATAAATATCTTTAATAGTTATTGAGATATGTAAAACTTGCATGTAAACATTAACCATGAGACTAAGTAGAAAAGGGGATATGAATCAGCCTTAATGCAAGATAGAGTTATGGAACTTGGTCAGTGACATACAATTATGACCCTCCAATTATGACCCTAAGTGCATGTGTAAAGTTTCAAGTAAATATCTTTGAATACCTTTAACCTTTAACCAAAATTACTAAGTTTCAAAGGGGCAAATAATTCTGCAAATATTGCAGGCAGAGTTATGCAATTTTGCACACTGATTGTTACTATAAATAAGTATTGTAAGTTTAAATTGAATATCTCAAGCAATAATTGAGATATTTGACTTTACAAAAAACTTTAACCAAAATTTCTAAGTTAAAAAGGGGCATAATTCTGTCAATATTGTAGGCAGAGTTATCCAACTTATCTATCTGATGTACCTTGTTACTATAAATAAGTATTGTAAGTGTCAATTGAATATCTCAAGCAATAATTGAGATATTTGACTTTACAAAAAAACTTAAACAAAAATTTCTAAGTTAAAAAGGGGCATAATTCTGTAAATATTGTAGGCGGAGTTATCCCACTTGTCAATCTGATGTACCTTGTTACTATAAATAAGTATTGTAAGTTTAAATTGAATATCTCAAGCAATAATTGAGATATTTGACTTTACAAAAAACTTTAACCAAAATTTCTAAGTAAAAAAGGGGCATAATTCTGTCAATATTGTAGGCAGAGTTATCCAACTTGTCTATCTGATGTACCTTGTTACTATAAATAAGTATTGTAAGTTTCAATTGAATATCTCAAGCAATAATTGAGATATTTGACTTTACAAAAAGTTTTAACCAAAATTTCTAAGTTAAAAAGGGGCATAATTCTGTCAATATTGTAGGCAGAGTTATCCAACTTGTCAATCTGATGTACCTTGTTACTATAAATAAGTATTGTAAGTTTCAATT